TCTGTGAGAGTCCATTTCTAATTAATCAGCAAAAATCAGGGATGGAAGTATGGCTCAACTGGTAAAGTACCAGGTGAAGGAGAAAGCCAAGTCAGTGTAAAGCCCTGGGTTCAAGCTCCAGTATCTACTTGAGAAAAGTTTTAGGTAGAGTACCTACCTAGCAAAAACAAGCCCCAAGTTCAATCCCTAATTCTGCCACCAAAAAACAAAAAAAAAAAAGAAAAAGAAAAAGAAAAGAAAGAAAAGAAAAGTAGAAAATCTTACCAAGAAGAGAAACTGAATCTGTTAGAGAAAACAAACTTGTAAGTAAAAACCTTTCACAAAGAAAACTCTAGTATCAGATAGCCCTATTTTCACATTTTATTAAAGGAAGAAATAATAATATAGAAACTCTTCCAAAGTAGAGAAAAGCTCATTTTATGAGTTTTATGAAGCCAAAATAACCTTGATGTTAAAATCTGACAAAAATGTTATAAGAAAAAAACTAAAGCCAAATGTATATGTGCATAATAGTCATTTTTAGATTAATTATATCCCATAATTTAAAATCTGTATTTAAGACTAAAAACAAAACGGAAAGAAATTCACTTAGCAATAAATATCCAGGTCCAAAGAATCCTTGAAAGACCCAACTCATCACAGAATGCCTATAGGGCAAGTGAACAACTGCTACAGAGATGACCAAGACTAGAGAAATGTTCCACCAATATTGAATTATAATCTAAAATAATGCCAGTAAGACACCCAGGATGCCAAAATGATTCCAATGTCACAAGCCAGCATGATGCATACAAGTGAATTCACAGAAGAGACTTTATGGGATCCTATTGTGTCACTCTGACATCTAAGAAAGACTCTCCCAAATATAACATTAATTTAGAAGAAAATTACAATGGGAATATATATCATCATAAACTATTAGTTTATTTCAAGGAAGTAAAGGCAAGGGGAACTTTTTAAGTATAAAAAATGATGATATTTATATTAGATATTTTGAATCATCTTTGGCTAAAAAATTAACAAGGGTAGTGAAAGTAAAAGGGTGAACAGATAAGATGGGCGGATACCTTGTATGTGAGCAGGGGTAGAGAAAGATGGTACTAGAACTTAGCTTTTACACTCAAGGCTGGTGCTTTACCATTTGAGCCACAGCTCCACTTCTTGTTTTTGGTGATTAATTGGAGATGGGTCTTACATGTTGTAATGATGTTCTTGGTATCAGAAAAGCATTAATAATAAGAAAAATGAAAACAAATAATAAGTAAATGAGTAAATAAGTGAACTGTATATGACAACCCTACAGCCACCATTATACTTAATGGTGAAAAATTAAAGCTATTTCCTTTAAAATCAGGAATGAGAAAAGGATGTCCATTCCTCCTCAATATAGTACTGGAATTCCTAGCCAGAGCAATAAGGCAAGAGACAAACATAAAGGGGATCTAAATAGGGAAAGAAGCAAAACTCTCCCTCTTTGCAGATGACATGATCTTATATTTAATGAACCCCATAGACTCCTCTCCCAAGCTACTTAAACTGATCCAAAACTTTGACACAGTAGCAGGGTATAAAATTAATCAACAGAAATCAGTAGCTTTCTGTATGCCAAAAACGAGAAGAGTGATGCTGAAATCCTAAAAGTAAGTACTTTTGTAATAGCCTTAAATAAATTAAAATACCTAGAAAGGAACTTAACCAAAGAGATGAAGGACCTCTATGATGAAAACTTTAAAAACCTGAAAAGGGAAATTAAAGCAAAACTAAGGAAGTGGGAAAATCTCCCATGCTCCTGTATTGAGGATTAACATCATGAAAATGGCAATACTGCCCAAAGCTATCTACAAATTCAATGCAATATCCATCAATATCCCAACAACAATCTTTAATGAAATAGAACAAGTAACCCAAAAATTCATATGGAATAACAGAAGACCTCAAATAGCAAAAACCAATCCTTAGCAGGACAGAGTGCTAGAGGAGTATCAATACCAAACTTCAAACTCTATTGTACAGCCATAGTTATAAAAACAGCTTGGTACTGGCACATGAATAGGCCCAAGGACAAATGGAATAGAATTGAAGATCCAGAAATGATCCCATAGACCTATGGCCACCTAATTTTTGATAAGGAAGCCCAAATCAGCAGATGAAAGACAGCTTCAACAAATGGTGCTGCAGAATTGGCAGTACACTTGTAGAGAAGTGGACCCTTATGTATCACCCTGCACCAGAATCAACTCCAAATGTCTCAAAGAACTTAAGGTAAAAGCAGATACCCTGAAAATATTACTGGAAGGGATAGGGTATACAGTAGGGCTCTTTGGCACAGGTTGAAAATTCCTAAAGACCCAAAATCACAACAAATCAACAAATCACAACAAATCTGAATAAATGGGATTGCATTAAACTGCAGAGCTTCTGCATGGCAAAGGATATAGCCAGCAAGATAAACAGAAAGCCTACAGATTGGGAAATCTTCACTAGCTATATATCTAAAATATACTCAAGAGCTCAAAAATTAAACTCCCCAAAAACAAATCCTCAAAGAAACAACACCAAGGGGGAGGAATAATTAAATAATCATTTATAATTAATAATTAAAAAGAGACTTCTCTGAAGAGGAAATAAGAATGGACAATCAACACATTGTTCAACATCTCTGGACATAAAAGTCAATGCAAGTCAAAACTACATGAGATTCCACTTCACTCCAGTTAGAATGGTCATTATCAAGAAAACAAACAATAACAGATACTGGCAGGGATGTGAACAAAAGGGAATGCTACTGCACTGTTGAAGGGAATGTAAATTGGTTCAACCACTCTGGAAAGCAGTATGGAGTTTCCTTAAAAAGACTTAAACATAGAGCTTCCCTATAATCCAGCAATTCCACTCCTGAGCATATTCCCAAATGATCACAAACAAGGCTACACTAAAGCTACCAACACAACTATATTCACTGCAGCATTTTTACCATAGCTAAGATATGGAACCAACCCAGATGCTTCTCAGTAGATTAGCAGATCAAGAAAATGTAATATGTATACACAGTGGAATTCTGCTTCCATCACAAAGAATAACTTTGCCCATAAGGAAATGGAAAGACTTGGGGGGCGGGGGGGGGAATCGTATTGAGTGAAGTAAGCCAGACCCAAAGACATATAGGCTCCAGTTTCCCTTATTTTTAATAGACAATAATGATGTTTATCGAAATGAACCCCAAGATATGGAAACAAGAGGGACTTTTTGTTTTTGTTTTTAATGTACTATGTGAAGTTATTTCTCCCCCCCCCCCTTTGGTTTATCCCATTGTCACTGTTTCTGATTTGGTACCCTGTGTCTTATATATGTTTATCTGATTTGGGGGAGGGAAGGAGAATCACAAAATGGTGTGACAAAGGACAAAGGATGAACCAATGCAACAGCAATACTCAGAGGACAATATGTTGGAAATCAACTCTACACTTGGGAGAGAGGGGAAGGAAAAACAGGAGAAAATGAGGGAGAGGTAATACTGCTCAAAAAGAAAGGAACTAATTACCTTACATAACTGTAACCCCTGTGTACATTACCTTTTACAACAGAATTTTTAAAAAGTAAACGGCTAGATACAGAAGAACAGAAAATAAATAATAATAATAGCTTTTCCTATTTTACCAACAAATGAGGTGTTTTATTTTTCTCTTGAGTCTTTAAACACCCAACTGTTTCCAAAAGGCAGTATTTTTTTTCTTCCTTTTTTTTTTCTTTTCTTTTTTTGGTGCCAGTACTGGGTCCTGCACTTAGAGCCTTGGTACCATTCCTTAGTTTTTTCGCTCAAAGCTGGCAGTCTACCACTTGAGACACAACTCAACTTTCAACTTTTTGCTTGTTACTTAGAATCTCACAGACCTTTCTGCCAGGACTGGCTTCAAATCACAATCCTCAAATCTCAGCCTCCTGAGTAGCTAGGATTACAGGCATGAGCTATTGGACCTGGCTAAGAACAGTAGCTTTTTGATGTCCTCTATGATAGTAAATATTCACTCTGTAAACATCTGTCAGCATTAATCCCAACAATGTTCACTACTGCAGGGTTTAACCCCAAATGCTGTAAACTCACTCATCATTGAGATGGAGAATCAAATGCATTTGATATGAAATGTATTTATTACATTAGAATATCAGGTTTATTTATAATTATTGTTGATGAGAAAAAACAGAGTAAAACAAAAATATCAATTTAAAGTAAGAAAATGTCACATATGCAATTTCACAAGAAAATGTTCAGATATGCTTTTTATTTTTACATTGTTTAACTTTATATACATATACATATCATAAATATACGCTCGTAATACAAAAATCTATATAAAACCCAAATACTTAACACCTAGAAAAGGGAGAGGAAGATGCTGCATTTGATTTCAGATACTTTTCTGTTAAATACTTATTAAAATCAGTTTTCAAGAAGGCAACAAATCAAAAGCCATTCATTTTCAGAGCACTTTGTGTTCACGTAAATTCATCATTCAAGTACATTTTTACTGCAATAATACACCATCAAACAAGCTGCAAAATCAAACTAAATAAGCCTCAACAGTGAGCACAGTAGAGCTCTCCTCGGTTCTGCTCTCCAGAGCCTAGAATGAGCCTCTAACATAAACCACAATTTCCAAGTTACACTATTAAATGTCATGTTATAGAGCTGACAGCGCATTCTAGACTGTTTTACAGACTCTTGTTAAAATATAATAAATACCAAGCCAGGCGTCGGTAGCTCACATCTATAATCCTTGCTACTTAGTAGGCTGAGATCTGAGGATATCAGTTCAAAGCCAGCCCATGCAGGACAGTCCATGAGAGTCTCATCTCCAATTAACCACAAAAAAGTCAGAAATGGAAGCACCAGCTTTGAGCATAAAAGCTAAGGATAAGGGACAGCACCCAGGCCCTGACTTCAAGCCCTAGTACTGGCACACACACACAAAAAAAGGAAAAAATAATAATTGGAAATTATGCTATTCTTAATTTCTTTTTTACTTTACAGAATAAACACAGTACACCTTTTCATTGTGCTTGGCAACCAGACATATTTGAAAATGGACAAATATATGTACCAACTCCTGAAGAGTTTGATATTGTTTAACCAAATCAGTTATAATTTTGGTTCAACAATTATCCATGACAGTCAAGATACACAACTTAAAATAATGCTCCTTACCATGTTATTATCATGTTTTAAAAATTAAATTCTTGAGGCACAAAAGCTTCGCATGATTTGCTCAAATTATACAAGGACTGAAGCACAAATAAAAGCATTTCTTATTTAACCTAATCAAGCAACTAGTGAAACGTTAACATATACCCTCTCTCCAAATTAGTCAATCTAACAAACACAGATATTAAATGCATTATTCAGTAATACTGCTTAGCTAAACTGTTAAACCTAAACTGCTTTTATTAAAAACGTTTAACTTCAAAAACCTATATTTTTATCATTCATCACTAAGAATTTACAAATAAAATATGATCATTTTCTGAATTATTATGCATGTAATGAGTTGCTAATTAAATTTAACATAATTGATTACAAAAACACAATTGACAATATAAATTTAAATAAACAAGATCTAAGAAAGATGCTTATTAATATGCTCTTTTAAAAGTACCAAGTGTAGGACTTATAAAATGTAGAAGACAGTACTATAGTTGCAAACATATTAATATAGATGTATTAAATTATCTTCTAGTTGACCTTCTGTTTCTTGTGAAAACGTTCTAACAATGCACGCATAATATTTCCTGGTATTCTTTGGTGCTCATCAATCAAAGCTTGAACAGCATTCTTGGTCTATGAAGAAAACAGAAGAAAAGCCATTATCTCTTTGGAGCCCAGTATAGATCGGACATCTTGTAAAGGTTTCAGTATTCTACTACTTTCAACGAATCTCTCAGGATGAATTGTTTCCCTCTCAGTATACCACAGCATTTTTTTTATTAAGGTTGTATTTTATTTTATTACAGTTGTCTACTTGGTTATGTCTACACTGAGCGTTGTTAGATACATCTTAGTATTTTACCACTAGTGAGCACAACACTGTCTTGCAGACCATAAACATTAAAATGAACTGTAGGGGGTAAAAAAAACTCAGAAAAAAAGTAGAAAATGTTGTAGCAGTTGATTGAAAAGATTCAATCCTTCCTGGCTGTTCATAGACTATAGAGCATGTTCTCCATTATCGTCTTCACTCTGCAGTTACATCAAGTAAGGCAACAGGAAGAAGTAAGGAGACAAGAATGAGCTGGCACACTTCAGTCCCCACCTCGATTTCCACACAGCTCAACAGGAAAGGTAAAAATTCATACCAAAGGAAAAGTCATACAGGATACATCAAGTCATAGGGGCCCCCTGCTTTATCTCTTTAAAACAAAGAATTGCTATGTAGACCAGCTTCAAAAGGGCTAGGATTACAGGTATGTGCCATCTCTCTTGACTAAATTTTGTTTTGTTTCCCACTATGTTAATGTCAAAATTCAACAGTATTTTTTACTTTCAGATCACTTTATAGTTTTCAAAATTGTTTTATATGTGTATAAGACATGTATACACATATACATTTAATTTATAAAATTTAATCTTTGAGTAAATAAAGCCTAGCCCAAACGTGTTTTTTAAAATATGCTCCTCTAAACTAACTTTCATATCTGTAAAATGAGAAGTGCTTCATACAGTTACTAGAAGGATTAAATGAACTTGAAATGACATCTTCGGTGTTTAGCACAGTGATTGATATACAGCTTGCATTTTGTGAAGCGTATTTCTAAAATTTCATTCATTTATTCTATGCTATAAAAGCTATCGTGAGTAAAACAAATTTGTCATCTCAAGGCACTCACAGGAACAATTAAGTACAAAATATTTGCAGTCTGAGATCATTTGTGATAGATATGTGACATCTCAAAGAAATTCAGACTTGAGAGTGCACTGGGTGGGTGGCCATTGTACTGTTTGGTCAGGGTCTTGAAGGACAAGTGAGATTTTAATAGTGACACAAAAAGAGTATGAAGAACAAAGACCACAGAGAAACAAATGGGTAAGGAAGGGGAAATTAGTCTTTTTGGCTGGACTTTCAAATCTGATTTCAAAAGGTAGATGATATAAGGCTTTAAAATAAAGCTTCAGGAGCTGGGAAGGTGGTTCAGTGGTAGAGTGCTTGCCTCGTATGCATAAGACCCTGGGTTCGCTTCCTCGGCACCACATGAGCAGAAAAAGCCGGAAGTGGCACTGTGGCTCTAGTAGGGCGCTAGCCCTGAGCTGAAGAGCTGATGGACAGTGCCCAGGCCCAGAGCTCAGGGCCCACGACCAACAACAACAACAAAAAAGCTTCAATTAAATATCCAGCATGACTATAGATGATTTAGGATGAATTGAGGAATGAAAGAAGGATTCATGGGTAAAGTACCAGGGCTATGTATTAAGAAAATGCAGTTTACGAAAATATCACCAGTGACTCCTGTCATTAAATTCAAAAAACCAGGCTTCCAGGCTTTGCCTTACCAGTCCTCTCAAGTCACCACTAGTTACCCCTTTCTTGTAATGCTATTCACTTCTGGACCCTGGTGTTCTCTTGATCTTCTGGTGGCTCTCAGGCTATTTTCCTTCCAAGGACCCATTCTCTAAAAAGCATGCATGGAGTTACTCCCCAAAGACTCAGGAATCTCATCCATTGTCACAGCTTCAATCACCATTCATTTGCTGAAGATTTCCAATTTTTCATCTTCAGTGCCCTCAAGCCTCACAGGTATGTTAAATATGATTTCCCTTGGATATTTTTTATTGTGAAAATACTGTACAGAGGGGTTATAATTACATGGGCAAGATAATGAGTACATTTCTTATCAAGTATTGTAGCCTCCTCCTTTGTTTCCCCTTCACATCCCTTCCCATCCTCCCCCTGCCTCCCCTACCCAATCCTCCCCGCTCCCCCCACCACCAAAGTTGTAAAGTTCGTTTTCTACATAACGACTTGTACATCTCATTGTGGCAATGGGTCCACCTATATCCCTATTTAAACCATTTGTTTTTCCCCTTCCCTCCACAAATTATACCGACATCAAATACAGTGAAAGCAGGGGTTATACTGTCAGGGAGGGACATACAAAACAACAAAGAAATTATCTTATAAATGTGTTAGAAACAATCACATGAAAGAAAAAAAACATTTGAATACCTATCTTAGGGTTCATTTCCCTAACATCACCTTATCTGACCTTTTCTGCTTAACTCAAACATATACTAGATATTGCAAATAAGGGAAACCAATGGACCTATGTTTCTTTGGGCCTGGCTTACTTCACTTAATATGGTTTTTTCCAAGTCTTTCCATTTCCTAACAAATGGGGCAATGTCATTCTTTCTGATGGAGGCATAGAATTCCATTGTGTATATATACCACATTTTCTTGATCCATTCATCTACTGAGGGGCATCTGGGTTGGTTCCATATCTTAACTATAGTAAATAATGCTGCAATAAACATAGTCGTGCTGGTAACTTTAGTGTGGTCTTTTTTATAAACATTTGGATAAATGCCTAAAAGTGGAATTGCTGGGTCATAGGGGAGCTCTATGTGGAGTCTTTTGAGGAACCTCCATACTGCTTTCCAAAGTGGTTGAACAAGTTTACACTCCCACCAACAATGCAGTAAAGGTTCTCTTCTGTCCACATCCCCTCCAGCATCTGTTGTTATTAGAGTTCTTGATTTTAGCCATTCTAACTGGGTGAGGTGGTATCTCAATGATGTTTTGATTTGCATTTCTTTTATGGCTAGGGAGGTTGAGCATTTTTTCATATGTCTATTGGCCATCCTTCTTTCCTCTTCAGAGAAGTTTCTCTTTAAGTCTTTAGCCCACTTATTTATTGGGCATTTGTTTATTTGAGGATTTATTATTGGGGATTTAATTTTTTGTGTTCCAAGTATATTTTACATATGAGACCCTTGTCCATTGTATGGCTAGTGAAGATCTTCTCCCAATACGCTTTCTATTAATCTTGCTAGCTATGTCCTTTGCCATGCAGAAGCTCTGCAACTTCATGCAATCCCATTTGTCCAACCTTTCTATGATTTGTTGTGTTTCTGGTTCTCTATTAAGAAAATTTGGGGGCTGGGAAGTTGGCTCAGTGGTAGAGTGCTTGCCTTGCATGCCTGAGGCCCTGGGTTCGATTCCTCAGCACCACATAAGCAAAAAGAAAAAAAAAAGCCGGAAGTGGCGCTGTGGCTCAACTGGTAGAGCACTAGCCTTGAGCTGAAGAGCTGAGGGACAGCGCTCAGGCCCAGAGTTCAGGCCCCATGACCGGACCCAAAAAAAAAAAAAAAAAAGAAAATTTGGGCCTGTGCCAAGACCTAGGGTTTCTCCTATTCCATCCTGTAATGTTTTCAGAGTGTCTGCTTTGACTCTGAGGTTTTTGATCCATTTGGAGTTGATTCCGGTGCAGGGTGATATATAAGGATCTAACTTTAGTTTTCTACAAGTAGATAACCAATTTTGCCAGCACCATTTACTGAAGAGGCTGTCTTTCTTCCATTCTATGTTTTTAGCTCCCTTATCAAAGATTAGATGGCTATAGGTCTGTAGGTTCATTTCTGGGTTTTCAATTCTATTCCATTGGTCCTGAGGTCTGTTCTTGTGCCAGTACCAAGGTGTTTTGATTACTATGGCTTTATAGTAGAGTTTGAAATTTGGTATTGATATTCCTCCAGCAGTGTTCTTTCTGTTGAGGATCGTTTTTGCTATTTGGGGGTCTTTCATTGTTCCATATGAATTCCCTCAACATGCTTCATTTAAGACTAACTTAACATTCACCTTCTCCTGAGTTCCCCCTCTGTCCTCATATGGTCCTCTCATGAATCTTATAAGTCAAAGCCTGACATTTTCTGTCTCTTGCTCACACCAGCCTATCACTGGCAGTACTCTTAGCTCTCCAATCTCTCCATTTCTTTCCATCCTCTCTCCACCTTAACAATACAGGCACAAACAAATCATCTATCTTGCATATAGGTGAGAATATGGATGAAAACACAGAATGAGACAAAGAGAAAGAAAGATAAAGAAAACATGAGAGCAGAACAGAGTCTGAGAGATCTTTAAAGAAAATCCTGTCATCTTTCCCTTACTACAGGATAGTTTAATTTACATTAGGTGGTGTTTAGAAAATGACTTTTTTCCACAATTAGATGCCTGAACTACCTATGACCCACTTTTACTTAAGTTTTAATTTCTATATTTAAATATTAATTTGCATGATAATGTGTTTGGATTTGTGATAATCCAGGGATCATTATGCTATGGTTTATGCTCCTGTTATTAATAAGGAAGATTAGCAAATTATGAAAATGCATCCATTAAAGGAGAATTTCAAGTACTCTTGATTTTAAGCATACTTTACTGCAATAATATCAACTTAGACATTCATTTATCCAGACTGACACTCCTAACTAGTGGCAGAGCAGGATTGTGGCCACATCCATAAGCTTCTAGGCCATGGTTGCTTTGGAGTTTTTCCCTCCATTACTAAAAAAATAAGACAATATCTGGAAAAAAAAGTTCCGAACTGGTTCTGACCTACTTAAATCTTAATAGGTACACGGGGAAAAAAAAACTAGTAGAAAAAAATAGAATTCAACTGAAAATGGATTTTTAGGAAGCAGATACTAAAAATGGTAGGAGCACAGGTAACATCAAAGTGTTAGTGCCAGGTCTCAGCTATGTTGTATCTCAGTGCACGAAGCTCTCAGTAAAGAATATGGCCCTAAAAAGCCAGTGTCAAGGGTTTTACTCCCAGCACACAAGACAGAAATAATGTGTGAACCATCAGAATAATTGGACAAAAGAAGTAATATATCATGTCATCAACATTGCCTTTTGAAAGTTCTTCCATGTCACCTTTACATGAACAGTCTCCTTCAACGTGTTAGAAATGCTGAATGTTGGGCTGGGAAGGTGGCTCAGTGATGGAGCGCTTGCCTTGCATGCATGAGGCTCTGGGTTCAGTTCCTCAGCACCACATAAACAGAAAATGCTGGAAGTGGTACTGTGGCTCAAGTGGTAGAGTGCTAGCCTTGAGCTGAAGAGCTCAGGGATAGTGCCCAGGCCCAGAGTTCAAGCACCATGACTGAACAAAGAAAAAAAAAGAAGAAGAAAGAAATGCTGATTTTTTTTTCTTTTATTTTTTAAATTTGTGCTAGTATGGGGGCTTGAATTCAGGGTCACCCACTGTCACTAAGCTTTTTTTTGGGGGGGGGGGGTCCGGTCGTGGAGCCTGAACTCTGAGACTGGGTGCTGTACCTCAGCTCTTCAGCTCAAGGCTAGCGCTCTACCACTTGAGCCACAGCACCACTTCCGGCTTTTTTCTTTTTGCTTATGTGGTGCTGAGGAATCGAACCCAGGGCCTCATGCATGCAAGGCAAGCGCTCTACCACTGAGCCACCTTCCCAGCCCATGTCACTAAGCTTTCTTGCTCATGGATAAGGCTCTACTACTTGAGCCACACCTCCAGTCTGGCATTTTACTAGTTAATTGGAGATGTGGTCTGGCAGACTTTTCTGTATGGGCCAGCTTCAAACTGCAATCGGCAGGTCTCAGCCTCCTGAGAGAGGATTACAGTGCTCAGTTTGCATATTCTACATATATTTTATATATATATATATATATATATATATCTTAAGTAGTTGTACAGAGGTTTTAACATATCAGCTTATGAGTACAATGCATCTTGCATATACTTTTCTAAGATAATGTACTTGCTAAGCCATGGTATGGCAGGATGTTTCATTCTTTCATTCCCCTACTAGGCTATCTCCATGGAGGATTTCAGATCCTACCTTAAAGTAGTCTAGTGTGGCCATGTTGACTGCTTTGACCAATAAAACACCATTGGGCCTAAGTGGGCCACTTCAAATAGAAGCTTCAAGAGCCACTCTATGGCTGTACCCCTGACCAGCAACATGCCATATGGTATTATCTTTACAGCCTGAGTCTCAAAGCAATGAAGGCATGGGGGAACAATGCTGCAGCGGAGTTTCAAGGAAACATAACATGACAAAGTTTACTGTCAAAAGCCTCTGAGATATTGTTGTTTATTACTACAGTATAATCTAGTAATGCTGACTGAATACTTAGTTTTTTCTTGTGTAAACTAGTAAGGTCTACACTATAGGGATGACGGAGGATAAAGCCAGATAATATAAAGAAAAGAAATAAGATTATCTTCTATGGAAAAAAAATCCTAGCTGACACAAGTGATGCTACTATGATCCTTAATTTCATGTCTTGGAGTTCATTTCCCTTAGCATCATCTTGTATGGTCATATGTACATAGCTATTAAACTATTCTGCTCATCTGCTAAAATTACCCTAGACATATACTAATTCTTACAAATAAGGGAAACCATGGGACCTATGTTTCTTTGGGTCTGGCTTACTTCACTTAATATGATTTTTTCCAAATCTCCAATTCCTTACAAATGTAGTAATGTCATTCCATTTCTGATGGAAGCATAGAATTTCATTATATTTTACATTTTCTTGATCCATTCATCTACTGAGGGGCATCTGGGTTGGTTTGTTGTTGTTGTTTTTTCATGTGCTATGTGACTTTTTTTGTTTCTTTTGTATGTTCTTCCCCCTATGGTATATCCTCTGTTGTTACTGTATTTGATTTTGGTACCCTGGTATTGTATATACATTTATTGGAATTAGGAAAGGGAAGGGGAACAACAGAATGGTGAGACAAAGGACAAGGGGGGAACCAATGCAACAGGGATATACACAAGACAGTATGTTGGAAACAATCTGTACAACTTGGGGAGGGGGGTTGGAAGGAAAGAAAGTAGGAGAAAATTGAAGGAAGAGGTAGCAAAGTTGACTAGAAATGTACTCCTTACCTTACTTATACAACTGAAACCCCTTGTACATCACCTTGACAATAAAAAATGGAAAAAAAAACTAATTTCAAATATTAAAGCTACAATAATCAAAACAGTTCTATCTGGGGACAAAGACAAATAAAGGAATACAGCTCAGAGATAAACCTTCATGACATATGGCTAAATGATCTTCAATATGAGTTCCATCCATGATCACACAATGGGAAAAGTACAGGCTCTTTGGCAATGGCACTGGGAAAACTCAATAGATAGCAAAAGAATTTGGACATTACATGGCATGCAAAAATTAAAACATATCAAAGAGGTAAATATAAGAATCTAAAACCACAAAACATTAAGGTCTAAAACCACTAAAGATAGAAACAAACAGAAAATATAGAGGGAAAGTATCATCATCTGGAATTTGGTAATGAGTTTTTAGGTAGCACTTCCTCAAACTCAAGGCTTCTGAGCAGCATAGAAAACAATCAGAAAAGTGAAAAGGAGCCTACAGAATGAAACGTATATTTAACAGAAGGTTAACATATGGAATAAAATTCTACAACTCAACAACTGACTGACAACTAGGCAAACCAAGTTATAGAAACAGCCCAGATGTCCTACAACAAACAAATGGTTAAAAAAAAATTGTCTCATACACACGCACACACCTCTCAATGAGGTTTTATTCAGCCACTAAGAGGAATGTAATTATGTCATTTGCAAGGAAATAGATGGAGTTGGAAAAAAAATTCTACAGAGTGAAGTTAAGCCAGACCCAAAAAGATAAAAGTGCATGTTTTCTCTCATACATGGATCTTAGACACAAAATACAACCTCTTGTGTAAACACACAGGAACATATGTCTATATATACAATCAGGTTGACTAATGTACAGTACATGCAGGAGTGAAAACCAATGTAGTAAATACTTTGAACAATTAAGAGAGCATAACAAAATGAGGATCAGGAAGCTGAAATTGGTAGGAAGGGCTGGATGAATAAAAAAATGAGAGACAAATATAGTCACAGTACTCAGTGTACATGTATGAAAAAGTGAGAAATGACAGGCCTCAAAGGAGGGCAGTGTGGCGAGGATGAAGAATGATGCAAGGGTGATTCAGAGCAAGATGCATTGGACTCATACATGTGACCCCCACTGGAAGATTAAATTTAACAAATAAAAACTTTCAAATAACTTGAAATGCAAATCAAAACCACAATAAGATTTCATCTCACTTTTTAGAAGTGTTGAGAAAAGTGTTGGGTCTAAGGATACATTCTCCATACTGTGAGAACCTAAAGACAAGTCACCATGGAAAACAAAATGGAGGTTCCTGAAATAGTCACATGGGATCACATAAAACCAACAATCCTGTTCTGCACATCCATCCAAATAGGATCTCCAAGAGCCATTTGCACTCCTATTCTTTGTGGTATTCTGTACGATCTAGTCAAGTAGAAACAACCAAGGTGTCCATCAGCCAATGTGAATGGGTACTGAAAATGTGATAAACACAGGGAATAGTATTCAGCCTTAGAGAAGAATGAAATCCTGTCACATGCTACAAGATAGATGAAATCTGAGGACATTGTGATATATGAGAACGGCTAATTATAAAGACATAAAATCTGTATGATTTTACTCATGAATTATCTAAAGTACTAAGAAACAGAGTATAAAAAGGAATGCCCAGGGTTTGAAGGAGGGAAAATGTAAATAGTATCTTTCTTGGTTTAATTGTTTTTCCAGTAGAGTCTCATATTTTTGTCTAGGGCTAGCCTCACACTATGAGCCTCCTAACTCCTAGCCTCACACTATGATTCTCCCTCCCAGCTGGGATTACAGACATGCACCACCACACCCACCTTATTAAGGTATGGTCTTGCTAACTTTTTGTTTGGCTAGTCTTCAACTGTGGTCTTTCCAATCTCTGCCTTCTGATCACCTGGGATTACAAATATAAACCATTGTGCCTGGTTTCTGCATGACATTTTTAAATTTTTCATTTTCTTTGATCTCTTTGCAAGAACTCTATTACTGATCACCCCACTTGAAAAAATCTCCACACTGACTTCTGTCACACAAATTTACTTGCTGTCTTACTTAAGCAATTATCCTTCTTTCACCTCCTGCAGTCTGTCCTTGGTCCTTCTCTCTGTCTCTCTAAACTGCCTGGGAAAGCAGTCACTGCAGAGCAAATGACTTATAGATCCTCAGCAGCAATCAGACTTCTCTCCCTAATTTAAGTTCCTATTTCCAGACATTTCAGAACAGTATGTCCCTCCATGTCCCAAGAGACTATCAACTCCATCACTGATCTCCAGCCACTAAAGGTCTATGGCACCGGAGTCCTCCAACTCCTTTCATCACAACAAAAAAATGTCACAACCCAAGACCTTCTGTAGGACAAAAACCCCAGTAGTGGAGAAGCCCGACACAGAACACACTTATAGGACACACAGATGAGTAATGCCATTTTACATCTGGTAATCTCAAGAGAAAAATCTATCCTAAGACTAAGAAAGAAAAAAAAATGGTTTACCTTTTCAGCTAGTTCTTCTGCTGTGACCTTTGGATCATATGGAATGGGATCCCCTAAATAGGTCCGTAACTTCACTGGAAAACCCCCATACATTGGTGCAAATGGATAGCGGAATTTTTCATAAAGCCACCTAAATAACCCTGTTTTAAGGTAAGCAAAATCATGTTTGTTGATCAAATACTCTAAACATGTAATTTTAAATTTTCTTTGCAATTAATATAACTTTTTCAAAAAAGATCAACTTTTCAAAAATCCATTGTAACACAGAGATTATACACAGGCCCCTACCATCAATCGAGGACCTGAAGAAGATTGAGGGGTGTATGTCACAACTCCCTGTGTACTTCATACTCTATTTTTGTAGTAAATCTAAAAATGAAAAAAAACCAAGTCTACTAACATGAAAAGAAAATTTGAAAAAAAAACAAATTTGAAAAGACTAACTAGTTACAAGTGCTGCAGATCAAAGATTAAAGCCTGCAACCTAGAGCAGGCAGCTCAAGTCTAGACAGGAAATAGGTGACTCATGGGAACAAAAAACCCAAGAGAGCGGGAAACAGACTTGTGTACACATGAGACTACAGGGCATTTACAGATTGTATGCAGACTACAAACTACTACTGTAAATTAGGAAAAACAACCAACATATCAAAGAATTACTAAAGCTAAAGACCAAGTTTGAAACATAGCAGGATTGAAAAAGTGGTAAAAATGTAAAATAAGCAGATGGGCTAAGTTTAAAACACAAAAGCAGCAGCAAATGAACCCCAAAAGGCCATCTCCATAAGCTACACAGCTTTGTATGGTGTTCAAAATTGAATACCTCATAAACAAAAACTACACCGAAGTAATACTCCTGAAATTAAATAAAAAGAAATCCCTACACACTATCTTTGAGATTCTGAGCTTTAAAGTAAAAAAATTAATACATTAATTAATTAAAGAAATATATTTTCTGGAATAATTTCTGGTTTGCCAATATGAACAAACAGATTTGGAAAAAATGAGAAACAATTCTTAAATATAACTAAATATTACATCATAAATATAAATAAAATATATGAAATATATAACATATAAAATATATATAAATAAACTAGAAAGGCAACCTGCCTTTCTAGTTTACATCTGGGAAAAAGCAGAAAAATTAAAATTTAAAACAATAGGAGGCCAGGCACCAGTGGCTCACGCCTGTAATTCTAGCTACCCAGGAGGCTGAGATCTGAGGATCCTGGTTCAGAGCCAGCCCAGGCAGGAAAGTCCGTGATTCTTATCTCCAATAAACCACTCAGAAAACTAGAAGTGGCACTGTGGCTCAAGTAGGTGGAGTGCTTGCCTTGAGCTGAAGAGCTGAGGGATAGCACCCAGCCCAGAGTTCAAGCCCCATGACCAGAAAAAAAAAAAAAAAAGGAATTTCAAGCTCTTTAAAAAAGGGCCTTATATTTGGATACAAATCCTAGCAATGCAGAGGTAGGGATATACAATATAACTGACTGAATACAATACAAAAACAATGGGGTACAACAAATAACCTGAACTCTTAAAATAAGAAAACAGATGTGGCAAAGAAAAATCACATCCAAGTGTTGTCAATCTAATAACTGGATTACAAGTTTAATCTGCAATAAAGTTAAATGTAAAGAACTTTTCCAAGTAAATATATTACAGTTCAAAACACTGAAGGAAAACAAAAGATGTAACAGAAATAAACCTAAGTGAACAAACAATATCTCCTGAGATTGTTAACCTTAGTTCAATATGTAGGTCATCTATTTTTCAGAGCTGAGTTAAAAGGATAGTGTGCACATCTTTTTCTAACTCTCATCAAAATAGCCTGATACAATAAATTAAATCATTTTTATAAACATAATGAAGTTTTGTAGTTTTGTACATTTTTAAGTTCATTACAAATAAGTTTCCATATGCATGATATTCTTAATGAAAATACAACATTCAAGAACTGCCATTGCTTACAACTAGTTATCATTTAGATTTGATATAAAATAACATCTAAATAATATGTCTATTATCTAAAGTTAATAACTCAAAAGTTTTCTTTATAAGGCTCAAAATTTCAAACACTTTAAATACTACACAGTAGTTAAAAACCATATGAATCAGAACTTACTTGTTCCTCCAAGTGATCTAAATCCTTCTCGAATATTTTGTGTAAACATAGGAATAATGGGCTAAAGAAAAGAATTTGAGTTAAAAAGTAAATAAATAACTCCAAATAAAATCTCCATGAGTCAATAAAGCAAACTTTTGAGGGCATTGATTGAAATTATAAGAATAATATTTTTAATAAAGGCATTCTTAAAATAGTATAATTTGTCATATTAAATTTAAGTGGATTATTTATAAAAATGTGATTCTTTAGGAAATACTACCCTCCAGTGGCAATATATAATATTTCATTTACCAGTTTTCTTAGTATTCCATATAAAACCTTGAAATTCAATAATAAGAGATAATCATTAATTTATTTTTAAAATGAATGTGGTAAATTGGCTTTAGTGGGCTCCTGTTTAATAGATTACTGAATAAAAGTTAGATGGTAAAACTCTTTAAGATGGTAAAACTTGTAAGGGGAAATTTATATAAATTTAAATGATAGGTTTGGGCAAGATGTCATATAATAGTAAAACACTTTTTTGTGAGCCTATTGAAACTAAAATAGTCAACATCAACAAAAAGTATAAGATTCATATTTTTAAAAGGGGAAAGGAAAAGTACATGCACTAAGGAATTCTTTGTTTCACAAGTTCATGACTTTTTATTTTTCCATGAATATCAATGATTGTGATTTTAATAATTAAAAGCATTATATACAATAATGTAATATAATAAGGTATAAGTAGATTATACCACTGAATGCTGAAGCAAATTTTAAAGTTGGGTAAATATTTTACTATATTAACAAATATACTGAATTAAATGTTTTAAAATAGATTAAATTGCATATATGTATATGTTTGTGTAAAACTACCTGCCTAAACAAGCAAGGTTTAAGCTATTTAAGTAAGCTGGTATTTTTAAAGTGCTTCTTGTTCAGCCTTGGACAATATATAGACTAAAACGAAGAAAACAGAGCATAGCTTTTTGTTTTGACAGTTATGAGACATGAACTCAGGGCCTGGGCACTGTCCCTGAGCTTTTTTGCTCAAGGCTAGTGCGCCACCACTTTGAGCCACAGCTCCATTTCCAGTTTTTAGGTGGTTAATTGGAGGTAAAAGTCTCTTGGGGACTTTTCTGCGCTGGCTGGCTTTGAACTGCAATCCTTAGATCTCAGCCTCCGAGTAGCTAGGATTACAGGCATGAGCCACAAGTGCCCAGCTAGGCATGGCTTTTTCCATACAAGTAACTAATCTCTCATCCTATGTCTCCTCTCCACAGCAAGACATATATGTGGCAAGGACATTGGTTTACTGTGGTAATCCTAATAAGTAGGGCAGTACCTGGAACAGAGGAAGGGTAATGGAAGCTTTTGGATTAATTAAAGAGCGGGGCAATGCTTCCCATGGGTTTATATTTTCTGAGTACAGAGGTCCAAAATTGACAATAGCAGTCTCATAACTAGTTTAAAAGAAAAGTCAGGTAATCTAAGATGCTAGAAAAAGAATTCAAAGTTTAATTAATTCGTAAAGCTAACACATAAAAGATAAAGCACACTGAATACTTCTGTTTAAAAAAAACTCAAGTCTAGGAAATGGTCACTAATTTTGTAAAATAAAATGATAGCCAACATCCTAATGTTTTAAATTGTTAGAAAATGTCTTCAGAGGGCTGGGAAGGTGGCTCAATGACACAGTGTTTGCCTTGCATGCATGAGGCCCTGGGTTCGATTCCTCAGCACCACAAAAAAAGCAGAAAAAAGCAGAAAAGTGGCACTTGTGGCTCAAGTGGTAGAGTGCTAACCTTGAGCTGAAGAGCTGAGGCACAGGGTCTAGGCACAGAGTTCAGGCCCACAACCAGCAAAAAAAAAAAAAGAAAAGAAAAGAAAAGAAAATATCTTCAGATTGAGGACTTAGAATAATGTCCAAGAAGAAAGACAAACCTTTCAGTTCACAGATGCATCATTCTACTCCTGACCAGTACTGCTGGACGATGTCACTATGGCATGATCCCAGAAGTCTGTATAGGAGCATGTACCTTTCTAGAGCCCAATAAATAGGAGAAGGCTTATGCTAGCTGGTTCAGTATTCCATGCCATACTCTTGGGCCTAAGGTTTCTAAATTTGCATTCAAGCTTGTATCCAAAAAGTCACCAGCACTACCATGTTATAAATTTAAATAATTACATTTAACCTTGTTTATTCTGTGCATATGAGGTTGTTGCATTAGTAACTCTAGAGTTCAACTGTTTAAAAATATACATATTCAAGCCCCACTAGCAACAAAAAATAAATAAAATATGTGTATTTCTGCATGCATACATGTGCATAGGACATTTTAAAAACTGTTCTGGGGAACTGTGTGTGTTGGTACATGCCTGTGATACTAGTATTTGGGAAGCTCAGGCAGGATAATGACAAGTTCTAGGCCGGCCTGGGCTATATAGTAAGTCTTGATTTCAAATAAGACTAATAATAATTGTTAGAGAATAGGGTTAGCATAGTCCTAAAATCTTATTAATGTTATTGAAAACGTGGGAACCACAGGACAGCTGCTTATCTCATCTTGACAACATGTTCTCACACACACAAAAGGATAATTAACAATAATTACCTCTAGTCCAAAGGTTTTTCATGGATCAAGTGAGATTTTACTAATAATTTTATTTAAGATGTTATTTTAAATATTTTATTCATTCAATGTTATTTTCCTTTATATGTTGTTTTATTTTTCAATTAAATGGGCTAATTTTCCTCAACCTATTTAGATACGAAGTTACCTCAAAACTCTTATCATAGTCTCAACTCTCAACATTTCTCAACACAGTATCAACTCTCTACTCAGGCATTCACAAGGGTCATTTATGTTATATCAGAGAATCTTTCCCTTTCAAATGAACAGTTTTCTACCACTATTTTGTAAACTGCATTAATAATCTCAATTTCTCCCTCTTGCTTTCTTGTATGTCACAATTTGGATGTTATTATTTGCTTATTTATTTGCAATGTTGGGGGTGGACTCCAAGGCCTATCCCATGCTACAAAAGTACTCTGGCTGGGTTACATTCTCAGACCAGTAGTAATCATTTAAATGTAGTTAACTTTTTTAATTATAGCTTATGATAAATGTGTTAGGCTTATGAAGAGATTTTTCCAGGTGATGCGTAATTTTCTGGGGACATGTGTGTCGTATATTACTGAAAGATTTCCTTCACATACCTCGAAGTCCACTCAACCTCAGATGTCAGCAGACTCACTATGGAAGGTAGTCAGAGCTGGCAACAGCACCACTGCCTTGAGTCCTGTACTGTGCTGTCTGTGGCTGCCTTGTGTGTGACCAGATCCCTTCCATCCCTCCTGCTCTATGCCTCATTCTCCTCATCTGTAACATTTCAATATGACATATATCACCTGTGTGAAAGTCTTCAGAAGTGCTACAAAATGTTGGGCTGACAACAGATATCTAACTTATGTCATTTTGTAAATCTACAGCATTAAAGGCTTTTGTTTGTTATAAGCTTATAAAAAGCTAATTTTCTGAAATTTTATATAAAAACCTTCATGAAATTATCTAAACTGATTAAAAAACTTAAGAATTAAAAAAAGTATTCTTTATGTCATTTCTTTCAGTCTTCTAAGCAATGCTGCTAAAAACTACTGTTTTAAAAAAAGATGAGTTAGAATGATAAATTTATTTGATTTTAAATCTATTTTGTCCTTTTTTCCTGAAATTTATGAGGAAATAATCTTCAAAATATAAAGACACCTTTAGATTTTAGTTTGTTTTTAATTTTTATTATTGCTTTTGTATATATTATTATTACCACTTATTTTTATAAAACTGCATATAACCTTTTCTATTCCACATTATTTATGCAGTCTAAGTTTTTGCTTTCTAAATCAGTTTATGATTTTTTGGAAAAATAAGTAAAATACATTGTATCTCAGCTGTCTGTATAACATTAGTAATATAAAATTAATTTTCCACTAGTGTTAATATTCTGTGTCTAAAAATGTCAAATGAACAAATACCTAAAGCCTAGTCAAAGGTAGTCACTGTACTAAAGATTTAAATATAAGATCCTTGTCCGCAAGGACTTTATAATCTACTGTAGGACACTACTATTTAAATATTTATGTTATTTAGGCAGGCAAGTATCTTCACTTGTACTAGAATCACATTATAAAAAACACTAGAGCAACGAATGATTCCTAGGAGTTATATTTACACAGAACAGAACACTATGTATTTTACTTTATTATAAATTTTGCAATTAAGTCATAAAACCGTCCATCCTCCAGGTATTATTATTCAGTTAGAAGTCATCACTAATCTTTCTTTTTGAATCACAAGTCCTCATTTGCAAGACAGGCAGTCAAGTTAAGGGTGCAGATTGGTCTTTATGGAGCAGCAATGGAGACAAAACACCTGTTTTCATTGTATTTGATGTTGGTATAATTTGGGGAGGGGAAGGGAAAAAAACAAATTGTTTAAATAGGGATACAGGTGGACCCATTGCAACAACGAGACGTACAAGACGTTATGTCGAAAATTAACTTTACAATTTTGGTGCCAGGAGGGGGAGGGGAGGGTAGATGGGAAGGGATGGGAAGGGGAAACAAAGGAGGAGGCAACAATGCTTGATAAGAAATGTACTCATTACCTTGCTCATGTAATTGTAACCTCTCTGTACGGTATTTTCACAATTTAAAAAAAAAAAAAACCACCTGAAAGATGAAGGTTACTGGCAGTAGTCTTTATCAGGCTTGGAAAAGCAACTATATATCATGGAAAAACTACAATTTATTTTCCTAACACTCTAAAATGAAATTTAACAGCAACAAGGAGAAAATTTTCCTAAGGAGAAGATAAGTACTTCTTAGAATAAAGTATAATACAGGGACCAAAAAGCTAAGAATTTTTTTTCCAAAGGCAAAGGAACAAAATGACATTCAAATTATTCAGTCTTCTAAAGTAAAACAATTACAGGAATTACCAGGGACACATTTAGTTTTATTGACAAATTCATTTGGAAAATGTTTTTAACTATCTAAATTGTACCAGTCTTTCTTATCTTTATACTAGAAGATTAGCTGATGAAAAAAATGATACAAATCAATACTACTTCTGGCTTCTTTAAAACAAAGACTGGTCACAGACAAAAGAACTATTAAGAAACACAACAGGGGAAGGGAAGGGATAGTAGGGAAAAAAGGAGAGAGTAACAATGTTCGACAAGAAATGTACTCATTACCTTAACTCATGTAACTGTAACCACTCTGTACAGCATCTTTACAATAAAATAAAATAAAGAAAGAAACACAACACTGCAGCCAATCATGAATTCCAGCACTCAGAAGGTGGGAGCAGAAGGATCATGAATTTGAGGCCAGTCTGAGCTCCACAGCAAGACCATGTCTCAAAACTGGAGGGAGGGGAGGAGGGAGGAAAAAGAAACCAATATCCACCATGGATATATACAAATTTATTCATATATAAAATTTAAGTATATAAAACAAGAATTGTTATGCTTTCACTTGTATAAAATTATAAACCTGGTTGAAAGAAGCAGGAATTTGAATTATAACTATGATTGTCCAATTTCCACATTAACTTTTTCAGATTTAGCTGAGTGCTGGTGGCTCACACCTGTAATCCTAGCTACTTAAGAGGTTAAGATCTGGAAGGTCTCAGTTCAAAACCAGGCTGGGCAGAAAAGTCCATGAGATTCCATCTCCCATTAACCAGAAAAACAATAGATGGGGAGGTACAGCTCAAGTAATAAAGTGTCAGCCAAGCAAGCAAGAATCAAACACCAGTACTACCAAAAAAAAAATCAAATTAAGATTGCTTATCATGCATTAAGAATATTTTTACAATGCCTTATTGTATCACATAATAATCTTTAAAGTCTTATAACAAAATTACCTAAGCTCTTATAGTACCTTGGCTCACTATACATATAAGCATTTATTTTAAATCTAGCTCAGCTTTACTTGAGCAACTTCTGTGACACAACTTACCACTTGTGCATCAATTGCAACCTGAGCAAAGCCTTTCCGGCTGCCCCATATGATGTTGTAGGTTTCATCACTAATGAGGGCCTCCCGAACTCCACCTGGTGAGATAGCTAACAAGTGACCACTTCTCAGAATTTCAACACATTTTTCTCTTGGTCCGTGTAGAGCACAAAATACATCAAGTAATAAACTAAACCCTGTAAGAAACATGAGCACAAAGATACACCTAAATACTCCTTGTCCAATCCTGTAAGACCAAAAGTCTTTACAACCTATATGATTTACTCTCTGTACTTATCCAGTAGACTTTGAGTTCATAAAATCAACAAGTCAGAGGGTTAACATAAGATTAATATTGCTTACAAAGAAATATCTTCATTGTACTGACCTGTTACTATTAATTTACTCCTTGCTGATCAACTACAACTCTTGCTATTGTACATACTTGAACTCTTTAACCAAAGATCACAACAATCATAGAAAACAGAATCCATTTTATGGATGAGGAACTCAAGTTCAGCAATTAGGTAACAGGTTCAACGTAACACAGCTAAAAGTGTGTAGGCAGAAATTCCCAGTTAGTTATGTCCAGTCCAAAGCTCCTTCTACTGCATCTCATGCCAAATTCATTCTAAAGTGTTTTTTTAGGATAACAGCAAGCCTACCTTACATTAACCCTAAAAGAAAAAAAAAATCACTTGACACAATAAGAATCCGTGTTTTGTCCTACAAAAACTGGAAAGACTATAATCAAATATATTAAAATTGAAAGTAATGATGCTAATGCCACATTAATTTTTAAATTAGTAATAGTAGCAAACATCATTAAGAGTTTTTAATAAAGTGAGGATATTTAAATTCAAGATCAGCTCATTCTAAGTCTAAACATCAAACAGCTTTTCAAATTACAACTACTTATGAATAAAAGACATAATCCTGTCAGTAATTACTTTAATAAAAGCTGACACTAGAAAATTAGATACACATTACTCCCTAAGTTTGAGAAATATAGGAATAGGAGCTAAAACTCTTAGGACTAACCACGCTTCTCATTTATTTAAAGAGATAAAGTTAGATGATTAAAATTAGGATTTAAATAACATTTACCTTGTATTATACAAAAATTCACAGATTTAACTAGATGAACAAAAATCAACACTTTATAAGTCACAAGAAAAAATATAAAATCTTCCATTTTGAACTAAGATTTATGATTTCTACCTTTAGAAAGCAATGCCAGTATTATAAGGATCATAAAAGAGAACTTTTTTTAAAAAGACAAAAATATAGACATTTTTGTTAGTAATGAAAAGTAGAAAAATGGGAGCAACCTAATGTTCCATAAGAGAAAAATAGTTAAGTAAACCTTTTTCTTATACCTTAAAACTTGTTCCAGGCTGGCAATATACCTCAGTGGCAGAACCTTTTGCTAACAGAAGCAAGGCCCTAGGTTCAAACCCTACCATTATTTAAAAAAAAAAAAAAAGGCTTTCCCATGTAAAACATAGTAAGATGCTAATGCTTATATTAAATCTTTTTAAATTGTTTGCAAAATATGTGGAGGGATGCAATTTAAAAATAAATGAAATAGGGGCTTGGAAGTGGCTCAGTGGTAGAGTGCTTGCCTTGCATGCATGAGGCCCTGGGTTCGATTCTTCAGCACCACATAAGCAGAAAAAGCCAGAATTGGCCCTGTGGCTCAAGTGGTAGAGTGCTAGCCTTGAGCTGAAGAGCTGAGGGACAGTGCCCCGGCCCAGAGTTCAGGCCCCATGACCAAAAAAAAGAAAAAGAAATAAAAATAATATTAGGATGGTAAATAAAACATGTTCTGATGTTCTTCTGTTGTTTCATTTCTAAATCCATTATAAAGTGATCATGATAATTTTTAAAGGAAAATCTTACAGCCAATTTAATGTATAATGAAGAACAAATGGGAGTTTCATAGAACAACAATATCCAAAGCACTAACCATGATTATGCAAAGCACTGATGTAGGTCATAACTTAATTCTCTGCTTGGTTTGAGTCTGTCTGGTTGATGGGTCAGCTTTGCTTTTATTATTCCACGGAACATACTACCAACTTTCTTGACTTGTTTCTAGTAATTTGGTGACAGAAAAAAAATAAGATTTAATCTCAAGGAGTTTCATTCAAGGACTAAAAAAAACTTCATTCTGTCTGAAACCATTTTGCTAATTAATCTTTTTTAAAGGTACAAAATCGTAATGACAGACTTACAAAAAAAAGTTAAGGCCTACAAGGCAAGTTATATATGCTAAGAAACAAAGTATATATTATCTTACTTATAGTATGTTAAAATATACCCTTACTATCCCTTTCTCTAATTTTGTTTTATTGAACTCTTACAACAGTAAAATTAAACTTTAAAACTCAGTATCTCAGAAAAAAATTATTACACAAAATAATTTAATGACCTTCCATACCAAAATATACATTGTTGTACAAAAATTGTAACTTATTTTTAAAGTTAGAGATATGGGCGGAGAATGTTTTCCATTAGTAGAGGACTTGCCTAGCAAGGGAAAAAAAACTGGGTTTTAATCCTAAGCAGGAGAAAAAGCAAGGAAAGTCCAAAATTTACATGAGCTGTGATGGCAATCCTAGCTATTTGGAAGACTGAAGCTAGGATCCTCTTGAAACCAGAAGTTGGAGCCAGCCTGGGCAACACAGACAGACCCTGTCTCAAAAACAGTTTTCTTTGGGCCATTTTCCCCCTTGTTAGATATACCGCATAAATAGGATTATTAGATATCCTCAACTTAGAATTCTAACTTTGTACATTAAAAGGGCAAACTGCTTTTCCAAATGATACTAAAGTGCTCCAAGACAGACTACCATGTAACTTGGCCCAAATAAACATTTTTACATCACCATCTATAGTGAAGTTTACCTGTGTGTGTGTTTATTGTTTTGTTTTTGTTTTTGTCAGCTGTGGGGCTTAAACTCTGGGCCTGGATGCTGATCCTGAGCTCTTCAGCTCAAGGTGAGCATGCTACCACTTGAGCCACAGTGCCACTTCTGGTTTTCTAGTGGTTAACTGGAAATAAGAGTCTGACAGACTTTCCTGCCCAGGCTGGCTTTAAACTGTGATCCTCAGATCTCAGACTCCTGAGTAGCTAAGATTACAGGTGTGAGCAACTGGCAGCCAGCTTACCTGGAATTTTAAAGACAAAGTGATCAGCTACTACTCGGCACGTTCTGCCTTTATGGATAAAGATTTTAGCCATGAAGTAGTAAAAATCTATGGGAATTGCTCCATGATAAAAAATTATAAGTGCTGGTCCTTCTGGTATTTTTTCCATCCCATGAACTTCATAACCTGCTCAAAAGACAAAAATGCAGACACTTAGGACTTTTTTTTTTTTATCTATACTAAAAGATAGTAACTGAAAAGCTGTCTTTTCTTACAAAGAACATAAACCTTCCTAGTATCCATTCCCTTTCCCTTTTCCTTCCCTCTCCTTTCCTTGAATGAGTCAGTACTTTAACCATAAAGATGGACAGGGTGAAGAAGCCATTTGGATGGAGAGGTGGCTCAGAGTGAATGCTGTAAAACTGAACACCTGAAGCAACTCAGAATGGGGAGTCCAAGGTAGACATCCACAGAGGAAAGAACCCTAAAGCACAGGTTTCTGGAATCAGTAGGAAAAAGAAGGCACTCAAGAGTGGGCCAGGCAGCCGGGCGCTGGTGGCTCACGCCTGTAATCCTAGCTACTCAGGAGGCTGAGATCTGAGGATCGCGGTTCAAAGCCAGCCCGGGCAGGAGAGACCGTGAGACTCCTATCTCCAATAAACCACCAGAAAACCGGAAGTGGCGCTGTAGCTCAAGTGGTAGAGCGCTCGCCTTGAGCTGAAGAGCTGAGGGACAGTGCCCAGGCCCAGAGTTCAAGCCCCACGACCGACAAAAAAAAAAAAAAAAAGTGGGCCAGGCATGGGGATCAGAGACTGAGTAAACAAGGAGGACATTGACACAACAATGGTCTGGCAAAGGGGAGAGCCTAATGATGTTAAGAGATGTCTGTGTGAGGCTGGTGGTCTATTTTAAGGCCTTGCAGCCTGAGCAGATGCGGATACCATGCAAGGCAATGGCCTGGTCTGGGATGTTAAACCCCAAGCAGGGTAAGAGAGTGCCCATGAGTGCTAAGGGACAGAGGCAAGGAATGGAAACTGATGGCATAGAGAGGATTGATTACTATGAGCCTAAGAGTTTCCCGAAGACCCAGTAATTCCACTCCAATAGACCACAAACCAGGCCACACTAAAGCTACGTACCAGCACAACCATGTTCACTGCAGCATTCTTTACCATAGCCAAGACAGGGAATCAGCCCAGATGCCCTCAGACAAACGGATCAAGAAAATGTGGTATATATACACACAATGAAATTCTATGCTTCCATCAGAAACTATGACATTGTCCCATTCGTAAGGAAATAGAAAGACTTGGAAAAATTATAGTAAGTGAAGTAAGCCAGACCCAAAGAAACATAAGCTGCATGGTTTCCCTCATCTGCAGTCACTAGAATATATCTGTAAATCTACAAGTAAACACGATGGATAGTAAAGACAACAAAAATATACTCCGACATGATAAATTAAACAGGACTCTAAACACGCACAGTTTCTAATGACAAAAGGAGAATTTTCTTAGGAGAGGATCACAATACCTCAATAGCTATGTGCATATGATCATATAAAATGCTTATCGAAATGAACTCCAAGAAATGAAAACAAGGAGTTTTTTATTGTACTTTTATGGGGTTTTCTTTTTTTTGGGGGGGGGGGTCCAGTCGTGGGGCCTGAACTCTGGGCCTGGGTGCTGTCCCTCAGCTCTTCAGCTCAAGGCTAGCACGCTACCAGTTGAGCCACAGCACCACTTCCGGCTTTTTTCTTTTTGCTTATGTGGTGCTGAGGAATCAAACCCAGGGCCTCATGCATGCAAGGCAAGCGCTCTACCACTGAGCCACCTTCCCAGCCCTCTTTATTATTATTATTTTTTGTTTTTCCCCTTTTGTCACTGTTTTTTATTTCTGTTCCTATTGTAGGTAAGTTTATGTGATTTGGGGAGAGGAAGGGGAAGCACAGAAATGGTGGGACAAAGGGTGAACTAATGCAGCAGTGATACTCACTAGACACTGTGTTGACAATGAACTACACAAGGTGGGGAGAAGGGAAGAGAGAGGAAAAATCTGGGAGTAACCGAGAGAAGTGGTGATATAGTTTATAAACAAATGTGCTCATTACCTGACTTACATAACTGTAACCCTGCTATATATCACCTTAACAATCATTTTTTTTTAAAGGGTAACTTGAGCTCCTCCTGTTGGAGGAGGGGTTGCAAACACAGACAAGGAGAGAACTAGGTTTAACTCTAACCACAAGAAAATATCACTTCATCTGAGAAAGGGCCAGACAGTTTACAAATGCATAACTCTCTTAAGCAGATCAGAGAGCCAAAGACGCTAGTGGTTTGCAGAAAGTTCATCTGATGGTTCACAGTTGTGTGGGTCCTTGGGTAGTGATTAACAATTAAGATTGTGTTAAGCTCTAATATCACTTAATATAACTTATTAAAACTTTTAGATTTTATGATTTTTGATCTTACATGATTTTTTTCACAGAGCAATATGATTGTCTTTTTGTTAGTTTTGAGACTATGTAATCTGGGCTGGCCTTGAATTTAAGATCCTCCTCTTTGGGGCTGAGAAGGTGGCTCAATGGTAGAGTGCTGATTCGATTCTTCAGCACCACATAAGCAGAAAAAGCCGGAAGTGGCACTGAGGCTCAAGTGCTAGAGCGCTAGTCGACAGCTGAAGAGCTGAGGGACAGTGCCCAGGCCCAGAGTTCAGGCCCCATGACCCGGGAGGGGGTAGGGGGAGGTGGGAATCCTCCTCTTTTAGCCTTCTAAGTACTGGGATTACAGATGTGCAAAACCATACCAGACTTAAATGTTGTTTTTATTTGTACATTATTTTCCAGACAGGCACAATGGCTCACACCTGTAATTCAGTTATTCAGGAAGCAAAGATCAGGAGATAAAGGCCAATCTGGGGGAAAAAAAAAATTAGGAAAACCTCATCTCAATCAATAAACTGTATGCCCTGGGAAGCCTTAAGTAGGATGATTGTGGTCTAAAGCCAGCCCTGGGCAAAAAAAATTAAAATAACTAAAGCAATAAAAAGGCTGGTGTGGCTTGAGTTAATGCAAGGTCCTGAATTCAAATCCTAGTAATGCAAAAAAAAAAAAAAAAGTTTAAACATACTATTTTCCAAATATTATGAGGATCAATTTTCTTCCCAATTACTTAATTCTAATTCAAGCAACTAAATTTAAGTACACAGAATATTCACTGAAATTTGTACGTGGTTACCAAACAGATCAATTGTTCCACTGGATAAATTTTCTAAGAACTATTCCTTTAAATGATATTATACACAGAATATTCCTAAAGGTTACTCTGGTATACAAAATGCTTTTTTAAATTACGAAATCCTTAAATTGTTTACATAACTATCTTCCAAATCCCCAGTTGAAAACTGGAAAAGGAGAAACAATAAGAACTAAAAAATAATAATAGTTTGACATGATTTCACTAAGGATAAAGCCTAGGAGTATTTAATTGTCAGTCTAGAAATGTAGATGATATCATACCTCATGAAACCCAGAAAGTCTCAATAGATTTCCCTACTCCAACATTCTCAAGACCTTTCAGGTCCCAAGTACCTATCAAGTGATACTGATTACTTCCTATCAAATAAATGTACTTTCCCACCTTTGAGCTTCTGCTCATGTGGTTACTTTTAATTGAGGCATTTTCTGTACCCATGTTTCCCTAATAGTAGAAACTGTCTGTACTTAAGTCCACTTTCAGACTTTACATTCCATCACTATTGCATTTTGCTTCAAAACCTCCCAATCTACCACCCTTTTGCCTGTGTAATTACAGTTTCAAAGTGCAGCTTGATGAGCAATGGAAACTCAAGAGGAAAGCACACCTACAGGCAATTATTGTCACTGTCTATCTAACCGCTCTCCAGGGAAAGGGCATCCCAGCTTGCAGTTTGAGTTGTCTGAGCCCCATTAATAAAAACAGCCCTTTTCTGCAGTAAATGAATGACACTTTTATTTGATGTCATTAAATACAGATTTTTTATTCTGCTCTGATTCATGTTCATCAAGCACCAGACTGAGCCTTATGGAGCTTAGCCTCAAGGGAGAGGATCTGGAGATCAGATACATGAAACTCCATTAAGTCCCTCTGTGGCAAAGAATTATCATGCAGATGAATGTCCCCATCTGGTAGTGGAAACTGTACTAAACTGCTCCTCTGTCAGACTCTGCACTCAGTCACAATAGTTCATGTCACATGAATGCACTTCTAGCTTTGAATACCAGTATCCTGAATTCAGGTAATGACAATTTGAATACTAGGTAGATCCCTTTTAAATTTGTCATCAAAATTCTATTTTTAAAGCCTATACACCTACACATTATGGTAAATTACCTAACAACATCATCATTTTAGATTGTCCTCAGAAAAACAACTAAAATTAACCTACAAAATAAAGAACACTCAAGATGCTCCATAACCTGGCTTCCATTCTGTTTCTTCATCCCTCAACATATTTCTCACCCACAAATGACTAAACACACCATACAAGGCACCTGCTGTTATGTTTAACATAAATGACATCCTACTATTAGTAGAGTTATTAATCTTTTATGTTCAGCAGTGTATTTTGGGGATCAATCCAAGGCACTTAAACTGATCTTGTTTTTAGTGCTATGAAGTATCCCTTAATAAACCCATATAGGTTCATTTTGACATTCCAAGATTCAGAGAGAACTAGATTGTTTCCAAGTTTTCACAAATATTGCTACAATGAGCATATACATCTTTGTACACTAAACATGTGACTATATTACTAGAAGAGATAATAAGAAGGGCAACTGTTGGTCAGAGGAAATTTCCATCTTAAAGCATAATAGAAACTAGAAATAAACTGTCCTTCTGAACTGGTTCTACATTACTTCCCAACTAGCACTAAATGGGGGATTCTAGTTCTCTACATTCTTGTTCTCTGATGTTATTAGTTTATGACAATCTTCTGGGTTAAAAAACAAAAAACAAAAAACAGGGCTGGGAAGGTGGCTCGGTGGTAGAGCGCTTGCCTTGCATGCCTGAGGCCCTGGGTTCGATTCGTCAGAACCACGTAAGCTAAAAGAAAAAAAGCCGGAAGTGGCGCTGTGGCTCAGGTGGTAGAGTGCTAGCCTTGAGCTGAAGAGCTGAGGGATAGTGCCCAGGCCCAGAGTTCAGGCCCAACGACCGGACCCAAAAAAAAAAAAAAAAAAAAACAACAACAACAAATCTCACTAGCATTTTAATTTGCATTTTCCTAATTTTCTAAAGAGTAGTCTATGTACTTGTTATAATTATTGACCATTACATTGCCTTGCCATTTTCCTGTGGTTTTCTTGCTACATTTTTTTCTCAGATACATTATAAATAAGTTAATGACTTGTCCTATCACTTTTTTTTTTTTTTGACCAGTCCTGGGGCTTGAACTCAGGATCTGGGCACTGTCTCTTAGCTTCTTTTGCTCAAGGCTAGCATTCTACCACTTGAGCCACCCACCACTTCTGGCTTTTTCTGTTTATGTGTCTGAGGAATCAAACCCAGGGCTGCATGCATGCAAGGCAAGTACTCTACCACTAAGCCCTATCTCCAGCCCATGTTATATTTTTTTAAGTAGCTTTTGCTTTTCTGTCTTAAGACCATCTCTACTTGAAGATCCTCAATTAATTGTTCCCTGCTTAGGTCAGTGACAATTTTACACTTATTGAACTCATGTGTTTTTGTACACCAGTCTTTTTAATCTACATGTGACAATTCTCATCTTGTCCCAAGGCCACAATTTTAGTCCATATAATGTTAATAAAATGTTTTTGAGATAATACTGGAAATAACTTATTTTTTTCAAATTGTTTTTTATTGTTATTGACTCTCCAATATAAATTTTTGAAGTTTCATGAAAAATCAGTTGGCACTGCACTGAATTAATGAAATAACTTGGAGAATAAACTGTAGTAGTAACAGTATCTTTGTACATTCTTCATTATTGGAGTTGCCTTCATACTTCCTAGCTCTATCATATTATGTCCACTCAAGATTTCTGGTATATTACTCTCAAAAGTTAAAGAAGTACTTTCAACTTATTTACTAAGCCTTTTAATCATAAATATTGAATGTTATAAAATTTTCTATAAGACTAATCTGTATTTTTGTGTGTTTTCCTTAGTTTAAGTTCTTAGCAAAATTGTGCTTTCCAAATTATCACAGAAAGATGTTTAACCAGGGATAGTGGTATACATCTGTAATTTCGGCTACTTGAGTGATTGGTGAAGGTAGAAGCATTGCAGTTTGATGCCAGTCTCAGCAAAAGCGTAAGACTCTATCTGAAAAAAACTAAACAACACAAAAGAAAACAAAAAAGCCCTGGGGGTATGGCTCAAGTGGTAGAACACTGACCTAGTACAGTACCAGACCCAGAGTTCCTCTAATTCCCAATACTTGGGGGAAAAAACGCTTTGTTATCATGATGTAGCTAACCGTGATTGAAATTTAGTATATAATAGCAATTATGTTAAACATTTTACGTGAAATTTCTCAAAAGTAAGGTTTAGAAAAGTTAAGTATTATATTTGAGGTTATTTATATAATTTTAACATAGTTTCTTCACATCGTTATCAATTCCAAGATGAAAAATAACAACTGCATAGTAGAATATCCTGTGAAAGATCTCCTTAAACAAGTGGTCAAAGATAATAATAGGACTAAGAAGACACATTAGTACCCCCACTGCTCTGACATAATGCCCTAAAAAGCACACTTCATCATTTTTATAGAATTCTTGCCAATACTTCCTAAATTCCATCTAATTGTGCAAAATATCAAATCGAATTTAAGAGCCCTTCTACGAAATTAACCAATATTCCTCACAATGCCAAGGTCATGAAATACAAAGTAATATTAAGAAATAGCCACACACCTGGGGGAGATGAGACAATCAAATGCAATCAAAGATCTTGCAAAAAGGATACTGGCAGAAAAATCTAAAATTCGAGTAATATCTGAAGTTCAATTAATAGATTGCCTTGGGGTGCACTGACCACGACACCTTATCCTTACATACTGATCTGTTAAATTGAAGTCCCTTTGTATAACTATTTAAGGATAATAAAAAATTGTTTGACAGGGAATTAAGTAAATTACTTGCAGGACTTATAGTATTCTATATACTCACTAAGTCTTAGTCATTGGAAGGGTTAATAGCATGACAAACATTACTCAGCACACATACAGGAATAATAAACATTACCAAAACTTTAAGAGAACTCATTTGGATGGTAAATTTTAGGTAGCTATTTTTTAGTGATTTTTTTTTCAGTACTAGGTTTGAACTCAGGGTCTCCTGCTTCCCAGGTAGGAGCTCTACCGCTTCCAGCCCCTTTGTGCCTTGTTTATTTTGAGGTAGGGCCTTCCTTTATGTCGAAGAAAGCCTAGGCTTCAATATTCCAGCTTCAATATTCCGTGATACTGGGGTAACAGGCATGTGCCACTGTGCCCAGCCATTATGTAGCTGGGATAACAGGCACACACCGGTGCACACTGGATGAGATGAAGTCGCCAGGAGTTCTTTTTACCTATAATGGCTTCAAATTGTGATCCTCTGAACTCTGCCTCTGAAGAAGCTAGGATTACATGTTCACACCACAAAACCTGGCTATCCCTACATTTTTCAGTGAACATTTCTACTACTAAAAAACTTTGCTGAACATTCTTGAAAAAGTACACATTAAAACTTATTATCTTAAGAAAACAGACTAAAAATGTATTTTATTTCCTATGAGCTCTAAGTACATAAAAGTTTTAGTGTTTTAATTTACCTGAACTGAATTATGTCTCCTGAAATATAAACACATTCAAATGCCCTAACATATATTAACTTGAAATATAGAAGGTGCATGTATAGAAGGGGGACATAAATTCCCAAGAAGTATTATGCCACTGAATTTCTATTGAAGGGCTTAAAGACAATGAATAGTAGTCTATACACATACAGTATCTCCAGACGTGCAAAGTGGAACACCGAAATATCATCTTGCTGCATGCAAAACAATATAGGGCCATAAGACATATCACCTGACAGGACCTTTAATAGTTGTCAGTACATATTAAGATTTAAACCATCAAAGGCATATGACTTCTGTTTGTGAGCATGTAATACCATGTTGAGTACCACAGCTGTAAGTCCTGAGTTGCAACCATGGGGCAGATTTACTATCAGTACAGAGCACAGAGCCAGAAGTGCTGTACTCAAAGTCTTATGAAATCATTTCAATATTCAACAACATAATACAGAAAGCCATATCTTTTTCACATGTTGCTATGGTCTGAATGCAGTTTGGTACCCACCAAAATACATGATGAGGTTTCTCAATTTCTCAGTGATAGCAAGAGGGCCTAATGGAAGATGCCTGGGTGATAAGGAGAGAGTCCTTATGAGCAGGTTAATGTCATCTTCAGTTTTCATGCTTCGGGGGCTATGCAAGTTCCTTGAAGAACACAATGTTTGATATTTTAGATAGGATCAGGAAAGCATGGACAACAAAAGTAAAAATAGACCAATGGGACCACATCAAACTAAGAATCGCTCCACAACAAAGGAACAATCAACAGGACTGAGAGAAAACTCTGAAAGTAAAAATATGTGCAAATGAAAAGGGCCCGAAATTTAGAATATAGAAGGAATTTTAAAAAATGAACAGCAGAAAAACAAGCAACCTAATTTGAAAATGACCTAAATTACTAAACAGATACTTTTCAAAGCACATCTTTAAAACAACCAATAAAAACATGAAAAAAATGCTCAAGTTCACTGATCAGAGAAGCACAAATCAAAGCCATGATGAAATACCATCTCACCCTGGGGAGACTAGCCTTCATCAAAAAGATAAGAAAAATCAAATGCTGATAAGGATGTGGAGAGAGGGAGACTTTTTGCACACTTCTGGTGGGAATATAAATTAGTGTAGCCCTTAGACCCTCCAGAAGAAAATATTTACACAATGGAATACTACTTGCCATAAAAGAAAAAAGTTTGTTGCCTTTTTTAAAAGCAATATGGATACAACTAGAGAACATGACACTGAGTGACCCAACAACACAGAGAGACAAAAACTACATGCTCTTACTCATTTAAGGAAACCAACAAGTCAGCCCTAGAAAAGTAGGAAATGGAATGTGGTCACTACAGATAGGGGAGAGGAAATAGAAAAATTAAGAGGGACTTTCAGAGACTTTTAGAGACCAGGAGAGGACCAAGAGCAGAAGAGTGGGAGGACGTGATTAATACACAATCTGTGCACACATGGAAATACCACAGTGAATCTCAATTTGCACAATGAATATGTGGTAATTATATGTTGTAAGGGGGGAGAAACCACCTTAGACACATACTAGATAAGGAGAAGCTGTATCACTTCCGGTGTGCCTTTCATTAACTCTGACGCGGCTTTAGTGGTCCCCACCAGAGGGCGACAGAACTCCCACCCTCGCTCACCATGCCAAACAGCGGCGTGTCCATCCCACAGGGTGGCTACCGTGTTCCTGGCACCGTCCCATAAATTATGAGAGTAGGCTTCTTTTAACATATTCTTCCTCTTATAAATGTGCAGGAAAATAATAGTAAGGTAGAGAAGAAAGATGGTAAAGTAAGGAAGTATTAAAAGTAGGAGCGGGGTAAAAACCCACAAGAGATGGTTTGCAAAATTCACGTAGTCCTCCAACTGCTCCACGCCAAGCCATGCTTCAAGGATGTGAATCAGACAAGTCATATAAGGCAGGGAATCTTGTCCTGCAATGCAGGTTTGATTTTTGTCTATCATTTTTCTTCAGGTGAAAATAGCAAAGTCAGTCTCTTTCTTCATTGCCATATCAAGTCTTTAATTTAGATCCTAAAAGGTAAAAAAGTAATCCAGAGTTATTCTCTTCATATTTACAAACTTAAACATTTCAGTTTACATAAATCCTACATATGATCTTCTTTTTTTAAATTAAGTAGCTGCACAACAAGTTACAATTCCCTGAGTCAGATTATGAGCACAATGCTTTCGGTCAATGTTACCCCTTCCATCATTCTCCCTCAATTTTCTCTCCCTCCCTCATCCCTAGCCTCAAGTCACAAGTTCCTTTTTCACATAGTACGCACTGGCTTTAATGACTCCCTCCATTCTCCTGCCCCTCATGCTCCCAGCCCTCCAAATAACACGTTTCCACTCCCTAGCATTGATTCTGGTAAACAGTTATTTCTTCAGAGGAGTCAGTCATACCACTGAACTCAGCTATCATTTCTTAATACAGAAATAAGTTGTTTTTAATGTTTTACTTTGTTGCAGAATCAAAGGCTACAATAATAAGGTTTAATTTATGCTTGCATGAAATGTGTTGGGTTTAGCTTTTGAAATAATTTGCAGGCTGGTGCTGAGAGGAAAAATCTTAAAAGGAAAGAAAAGTTCAAACTCATCTTAATATTTTGATTCCTCTTTAGTGGAAGATGTTGAACATTTGGATCTAAACCTAGGCCAAGTTGAGACTGTGTTGTTTACAGAAGAAAACATCATTATCTGACTCAATAAAAGTAACCAAATCTTTTAGAAAATGATGGTGCATAGATTTGGACATTATCATTTTAGAGAAGGAGATTTACAAAAAGTCTATTTATTCTTTTGTTATTAAAAAATTATAGGATGGGCGCTGGTGGCTCAAGCCTGTCATCCTAGCTACTCAGGAGGCTGAGATCTGAGGATCGTGGTTCAAAGCTAGCCCAGGCAGGAAAAGTCCAGGAGATTCTGATCTCTAATAAACCACCAGAAAACTGGAAGTGGCACAGTGGCTCAAGTGGTAGAGCACTCGCCTGGAGCTGAAAAGCTGAGGGACAGCGCCCAGGCCCAGAGATCAAGCCCCATGGCCAACAACAACAACAACAACAAATATATATATATAATAAAAAATTATCAGTATGTCTATCCTATAATTACCCAAATTTCCTTTAAAACATAAATGGCTGAAAATACAGTTGTTACTTTATAAATTTACTTTCTAAAAGTGACTTGACTTACCAGAAATTGAGTAAGTTTTGTCTCAAGCTTCAGTGTATATATTCTGAAAAGCACAATAAATAAATGCAATATATGGTTAAAGAAGAAAATGTCATCATTAATAACTAGATTTAAAATTTCCATAAAATCAATCGCAACAGACATTCACAAATATTTGACAAATGTAATTACAGCTTCTGGCTGTACCAAAATTAAAAGTTATACTCAAGCTACAACTGCTTTACCAAGGACAACTGTTCAGTACCTCCATGTAAAGCCCCACCCAGAAGTTTGTTTTAGAGCGATTATAAGAAGCCTTGATTCCTTTGTTTGCGGGGATGGGGGAGTGGGAGGAAGGGTGGCACGCAGTTTAGATTTGCAATTGAGTATGTCTCTTTTTACTAACTTTTCCAGATATGTTGATAGTCACATGTGATACTTAATGATCCTATGATCATAATTTTTATGTAAAATTTCCTTCTCATATTTCCACTGATTCTGAGTCTTTCCTTAGAGAAACTTTATAAAAACTAAATGCAATCATCTCAAATGAGGAGAATCATCTCAATTCTTTGTGACTGAGTCAGAAAAGAAAAAGAGAAAAACAAAGTCAAATATGTAAGAGCATACATACTATCTTTATGCCAGGATTATCTTTCTTTTTTGTTTACTTCGTTGTTTTTAAATAAAGCATGCATTTTCACTTCTCACAGAGACAGGATTTAGTTTAATTTCCTCATAACCAACAGCATATACTTATGAGAAATAGGGACCTATTCTAGTAACTAAAAATAAACATATCACACATTAAGCATCTTAGCATGGGCTTTATTTATATCCTGTTCTTGCCACTGCATATGAAGAGCTACAGCTGAAATGTATCATGTTTGATCATCTAAAATACAACACTACAAAATTTAAAACTTTTAAAATTGAGAGCTTATTGTAGTAGGGTAGTCATATTGTTAAAAAAAATATAAAAAAAATAACAAGTATTGATAATAAAGTAGATGGGCTGGGAAGGTGGCTCAGTGGCAGAGCACTTGCCTTGCATGCATAAGGCCCTGGGTTCGATTCCTGAACACCACATAAGCAAAAAGAAAAAAGCCGGAAATGGCGTTGTGGCTCAAGTGGTAGAGCACTAGAGCCTGGAGAGCTGAGGGACAATGCCCAGGCCCAGATTCAGGCCCCACAACTGGACCCAAAATAAATAAATAAATAAATAAATAAAGTAGAGGAATTAGAATCTTTAAACATAGTTGATAGGGCTGGGTAGTTAATAGGCTCAAATGGTAGATTGCTTGCCTCATGCATGAAGCCCTGGGTTTGATTCCTCAACACCACATATGCAGAAAAGCTGGAAGTGGCACTGTGGCTCAAGTGGTAGAGTGCTGGCCTTGAGCTGAAGAGCTGAGGGACAGCACCCAGGCCCAGAGTTCAGGCCCCACGACGGGAAAACAAACAAACAAACAAACAAACATAGTTGGTAGGAAAGTAGTTGTGGCCACTATGCTAAAAATAAATAAATAAATAAACATGGTGTTATTCCCTTGAATCAACAATTCCAGTCCTAGGTAAATGCCCAAGAAGACTGAAAATGTATTCACACATAAGTCTATATACAAACATTCCCAGAAGCATTATTCATAATAGCTAAATCATAGAAACAGTTCAAATTCCATCAACTGATGAACAGATAAATAAGATATTGTGTAGTCATAACAGAGTATCACTCAGCTAAAAAAAAAAAAAAATGAAGTACCTATAGTTCATAAAATGGGAAAACCATGGAAATAGTATATGTTAAGTGAAAAAAGCCAGACTTAAATTGCCACATACTGTACAATTCTACTTCTATGACATACACAAACTAATCCATACAGACATAAAGGTTAATGGTTTCCATGTGCTAAGAGAGAAGAAATGGAGAAATTACTGCTAATGAAAAGACAAAATATTTCTAGAACTAGATAGTAACAAGCTTGTAAAGCTGATAAATTTCCAAAAATAAACAACATTATAAAATGATGAATTCTATGATGAATTTTATCGTAAATTTTAAGTGTGTAAACATTTTTAATTAAGTTATATCCTCTCAAACAGTTTATCATGAACTCTTCCTAGGCCCAATCCATACTTCAATTATGTACTCTCTCTGTTTAATACAATTATTTAGCCCACAATTATTTAGCCTTGAGTCTAGTTTTTAATAGGACTGCAAAATACTAAGGATAGAGCCAACCTCTAGTTAGAACATCTCAGACCCAAAACTCAAAATGCCACCAAATGAGGAACTTCTTGAGTATTAGCAAGTTGGGTGTTTCCCCACATGACCTCATGTCATGGGACATAGTGAAATTGCAAGAAATATCATACACAACTATCTTTAGGCTACATGATTAATGTGAAACTTAGGTAAAAAAAGAAGAAAACTTAGGCACAAATTTAACGTAGATAATCATTACAATAAAAACTAAAAGTTATAAAAGAAATTGAAAGAATGCTAAAAATGGAAAGACTAGAAAAATTAAAACTATTAAAATATTCATTCTGCTCAAAATAATCTACATATTCAAAGTAATTCCAATCAAAATATCAATTGCATTCTTCAGAATAAGAAAAAATATTTTTAAAGAACTATTCTTCAAAGTAAATATACACATATATTTTTCACAGTAATCTTCTAAAAAATACTCTTCAAATAAAAAAAAAAAGAAAAAGAAAAACCCTTATATGGAACTTCAGAAAAACTCTTGCTAAAGCAATCTTGAACAAGAGGAACAGAGCTGAAAGCATTATCAGACTTAACTTGAAAGTGTACTACACAGGGTATAAAATTAACCCTCAAAAATAAATGGGAAGAGCACAGCTGAAATCAGGACAGCAACTCCTTTTGTAATAACCCCCTCAAAAATAAAATAGCTAGGAGTTAACTAAAGAAGTGAAGGACCTCTACAATGAAAACTTTAAAAACCTAAAAAAGGAAATCAAAGCAGAACTTAGGAAGTGAAAAAAACTCCCATCCTCCTGGATTGGGAGGATTAACATCATGAAAATGGCAATATTTCCAAAGGCTATCTAAAAATTCACGCGATACCTATCAATATTCCAACCACATTCTTCAATGAAATAGAAGAAGCAATCCAAAAATTCATATGGAACAATAAAACACCCCAAATAGCAAAAACGATCCATAGCAGAAAGAACAGTGCTGGAGGAATATCAATACCAAATCTCTAACACTACTACAAAGCCATAGTAATCAAAACAGCTTGGTACTGACACAAGAACAGACCTCAGGAACAATGGAATAGAATTGAAAACCCAGAAATGAACCTACAGACCTATAGCCATCCAATCTTCGATAAGGGAGCTAAAACATAGAATGGAAGAAAGACAGCCTCTTCAGTAAATGGTACTGGCAAAACTGGTTAATTACTTGTAGAAAACTAAAGCTAGATCCTTATATATCACCCTGCACCAGAATCAACTCCAATTGGATCAAAGACCTCGGAGTCAAAGCAGACACTGAAAACATTCCAAGATGGAATAGGAGAATCCCTAGGTCTCCTTGGCACATGCCGAAATTTTCTTAATAGAGACCCAGAAACACAACAAATCAAAGAAAGATTGGACAAATGGGATTGCATGAAACTGCAGTTTCTGCATGACAAAGGACATAGCTAGCAAGATCAAGATAAGCCCACAGATTGAGAGAAGATCTTCACTAGCCATACAACGGACAAGGGTCTCATAGCTAAAATATACTTAGAACTCAAAAAACTAAATCCCCCTACAACAAATCCTCAAAGAAACAACTGCCCAATAAATAAGTGGGCTAAAGACTTAAAGAGAAACTTCTCTGAAGAGGAAAGAAGGATGGCCAATAGACACATGAAGAACTGCTCAACCTCCCTAGCCATAAAAGAAATGCAAATCAAAACAACATTGAGATACCACCTCACTCCAGTTAGAATGGCTAAAATCAAGAACTCTAATAACAACAGATGCTGGAGGGGATGTGGACAGAAGGGAACCTTACTGCATTGTTGGTGGGAGTGTAAACCTGTTCAACCACTTTGGAAAGTAGTATGGAGGTTTCCTCAAAAGACCCCACATAGAGCTCCCCTATGACCCAGAAATCCCACTTTTGGGCATTTACCCAAATGTTTACAAACAAGACCACACTAAAGCTACCAGCACGACTATGTTTATTGCAGCATTATTTACTATAGCTAAGATATGGAACCAACCCAGATGCCCCTCAGTAGATGAATGGATCAATAAAATCTGGTATATATACACAATGGAATTCTATGCCTCCATCAGAAAAAATGGCATTGCCACATTTGTTAGGAAATGGAAAGGCTTGGAAAAAACTATATTAAGTGAAGTAAGCCAGGCCCAAAGAAACATAGGTCCCATGGTTTCCCTTATTTGCAATATCTAGTATACGTCTGAGTCAAGCAGAAAAGGTCAGATAAGGTGATGTTAGGGAAATGAACCCTAAGATATATATTCAAATGTTTTTTTTTTCTTTCATGGGATTGTTTGTAACACATTTATAAGATTATTTCTTTGTTGCTTTGTATGTCCCTCCCCCACAGTATAACCCCTGCTTTCACTGTATTTGATGTCGGTATAATTTGTGGAGGGGAAGGGGAAAAACAAATCATTTAAATAGGGATACAGGTGGACACTGCAACAATGAGATGTACAAGTCATTATGTGGAAAACGAACTTTACAACTTGGTTGGGGGGGAGGATTGGGTGCCTTTCATTTAGTTTTGGGATACTTTTAGAAGGAAACTTTCTGTTTGTAATAATCTTTGAAGAAATTGAAAATAAAATTTCTGCTTAATTCATTAAAAAAAAAAAAACAAAGAAAAAGAAAACTGGATGTTAATATGAAGAAAGAAACTAGACCTGACTCTCTTGACTAACATCAACTAAAAGTACAGAAAAGGTCTGTAAGACTACTATAAAAGAAGAGGGACAAAGGTAGAATTTATTCACAAAAGCAGGAATTTCCTGAATAGAACTCCAATAGCTCAGCAAATAGGAATAAGAACTCACAAATGGATTGCATCAAGCTAAAAAACTTCTGCAGTCACTAGCTGAAAAGACTGCATACAGAATGAGAGAATGTTGACTGCTATACATCTGATAAGCGATTGACAACCTAAACATACTGGGAGTTAAAAAACAAACTCTCAAAAATGCAATAGCTCAACTAATAAATGGACAAATAAATTGGACACTTCAAAAAATACTAAAAATGGCAAATAAATAAATAAAGAAATACTCAACATCCCTGGCCATAAAGAAAATGCAAATCAAAACAACACTGAAATTCCATCTCACCCAAGTTAAAATGGCCATCATCAAGACTACAACTAACTGATGTGGGGAAAAACTAACCCTAATACACTCTTGGTGGGAATTTAAATTTATGCAGCCACTGCAGAAAGCAGTTTGGAGATTTATTAATTAAAAAAAAACCACTAAACAAAACTATGATTCAGAGATACCACTGTTGGCCATTTATCCAAAAGATTACAAGTCAGGATAAAATAAAGCACAATCATGTTCATTGCTGTACTACTCACCATAACCAAGTTATAAAAGTAGCCCAGATGCCCTTCAATGGACAAACAGATCAAGAAAATGAGATAAAAACACACAAACACACACACACACACACACACACACACACACACACACACACACACTCATACAGAATGGAATTTTACTCATCCATTAGGAAGACTATTATATCATTTGTAGAAAAATGAATAGACCTGAAAAAAATTATATTAGTGAAATAAGTTAAGACCTGGAGAGATAAAGGACATGTGTTTTCTCTCATGTGGAAATTAGGTTTCATTTATAAATACAATGTATGTATATGTATGTAAACATATGCAGGCCCTGTATATGTTTACATAGATGCATAGATACACAAATGTATTAGCTAAAGAATGGTATATGCCAGGGAGAATTCAAATAGTGTAACTCCTTTCAACAACTAATCTACATTCTAAGAAAATGAACTTGAGGAATGGAGGGGGGATAGTGAGGGGCTAAGATCAAGAGGAGAGGAGTAGACAAATGAAGAGAAGAAAGATAAAAGAATGCAATCATAAAATTCAGTGTATATACATGAAAACATAACTAGGAAGACTGGGTTATGAAGTGCGAGACATGGGGACAGATTGATAAAAGGGACGACATAGATCACCTTCACACAACCACTCAAAAGATTTTTAAAAATCCGAAAGCAAATTAAACTAGAGGTGTGACTCAACAGCCAAGGCCTTTAGTTCAAACCCCAGTACAAGAGGAAAAAAGTCGAAAGAAAACAAGCCAGACAAGGAGGTGTGTGTCTGTGATCCCATTTCCTTGGAAGAATAGGCAAATGATCACAAGTTTGAGGCCAACCTGCCAGTTAATAAATAATTGAGTCCAGGCAAATTTACCTATCTCAAAAACAAAATAAAGACAAACAGCTAGGGGCATAGTACAAGTGGCAGAATGCTTGCTTAGCAAGAACAAGGACCTGGATATAATCTCCAGTAATGGGAAGAGGGAGAAAGAAGAAGAGAAAGGGAGAGAGAGGGAGAAAGAGGAGAGAGGATTAATTGAAAAGCCACCTCCACACTAATGTTTACTATAGTACTTAGGATAATAAGGCATAATATGGAATCCACTAAAGTGTCCACTGAGGGATGAACAAGGGAAACTGGTTATTATTTACACACTATGGAATACTATTCAGCCACAAAAAGAATGCAATTCTGTCCGGAAGCAATATGGAAGAAACTGGAAGGCATTGAACTAAGTGATATCTCAGCATAGAAAGACAAATACAGCATGTTCTCACTTACATGTGGAAGTTAAAGTTTATAAAAAGAAATAAATCGGGCTGGGAAGTTGGCTCAGTGGTAGAGTGTTTGCTTTGCATGTATGAGGCCCTGGGTTCGATTCCTCAGCACCACATAAGAAAAAAAGCTGGAAGTGGCACTGTGTCTCAAGTGGTAGGGTGCTAGCCTTAAGCTGAAGAGCTAAAGGACAGAGTACAGGCCCAGAGTTCAGGCCCCATGACAGGAAAAAAATGAAAGAAAGGAAGAACGAAGGAAGGGAGGGAGGGAGGGAGGGAGGGAGGAAGGGAGAGAGAGAGAGAGAGAAAGAAAGAAAGAGAAAGAAAGAAAGCAATCAAATAGTGGTTATCAGGTCTTGGAAAGGGTGTAGGGAAGGAAGGGATGGAAAGAGTATGGTAATGGGTACAAGGATGCTGAAAAGGAGGAATAATTTCCAATGTTCTAAAGTACAATAGGCTAACTATGGCTGACTGCAAATGAGTTTTTCAAATTAGCCAGTAGAGATGACTTTGAATGTTCTCAACACAAAGAAATGATACATATGTCAATTATCCTGACTTGATCATTATATCACACTGTATATGCATTTGTATATATGCATTAAAATGCCCCACTGTACCTTCTGAATATGTAAAATTACTGTATCAATTTAAAATATAAATAAAAAATGAACATGCTGGCACATGCCTTTAATTCCAACACTCAAGAAGGTAAGGTAAGAAGATTGTGAGTTTGAGGTTCAGCCTCCATTACATAGTCAATCTTTTCTCAAAAAGGCAAAACAAATTTTAGATAGAAAATTTTTAAACCGTTTGAATTCCAAGCTTCAAACTCAAGGTTCTGATATGAATAACCTTTCGATATTAAACAAAGAAAAAAGAGGAAGAAATCCTGGAATATCCTTCAACGCTTTGCTAACACATTCCTCTCTCTTTGATGCTTCTGTTGTGTCCTTAATGTAGCCACCCATCCCTATGATGTTACAATGCATATCTAACGTGGTGCATGTGGAACTGCGCAGTACTTGTGCCTTCTTAAATCCCTAAGGTCAGCCTATCTCTGACTTCAAAATAAAGCAGAAAGGATATGGGATTAAATAACTTCTTTTAAAACTTAGTATTTTTATCCACTCATAAATACGGCTTGAATACTAACAACCCCTCTAGGTTTTAACTCACTTCTCCCTTTATTTCTTTTGTTTTTTGAAAGACAGGAGATCATTATGTGTCCCAGAACTGGCCCTGAAATTCTCCCATGTGCTAGACTCACAGATACCGGGCTTAACTCAGTCTTTACCTCGTCCTAGAGAAATAGAAATACTAATGCAATTTCAGCATGAATAGCACAAACCAACTCCTCAACTCCAACAACTTTCAGGTCTCAACTTGCTTCTGGGAGGGAAGCTGTCTGGCCAGTGTCAGGGAAAATCACACAAATTCTCACAGTGGTGCTGTGACAGTTCTCTCCATCTCACTGGGACATATGCATATTTCTTATTAGATATTTAACAGCTTGAAGGCAGAGACCTGTTTTACAGGTTGCACACTTCATCCAAAGATAGGGTGCCTTACCAGGTGTGTAACTATTAATAGCACAAATGAAAGGTTTGATACACATCCTTCCATTTAATCCTTTCAGCAGCCCCGACAGGTACTGTTGTTGCTACTGTAACAACCTCAGTAGTTACATAAAAGCCAATTTTAAAAAGATGCTTTTGTGGGGCCCAGAAAATTAACTTTGGATCTGTGCCCTTTGATCTGAACTATATTGCAATCATGACTTCTTTCCAGGAGAAAAGATTTAGGTACCCATCTTGTGTGGAATGCACACTGCCCCTCAAACAAGCAATGCCTTCTTGTATTTATCTTAAAACAGACAAAACCTCAGAAAACCACTTTGTTCCTGTTCTGTCTCCGTAATAAAGTAGTAACTTCTCCAGGCTGTTCCGGACAAAGACTAAGCTAATGGTCAGCCAGGCCATCCCTTCAACTTGGGACTGTTTAAAGTACGCATATCTTTCTCATCCCTTGCCCTCAATTCTATGTAACCTGAAGCCAACGTCTGTACCTACCCCCGCCCCCAGAAGACTGCCGAAGATGTTAAGTTGGTATGCGATTGATCTTTGCCTGCCCTTCACCATGTCTGTTTATTTGGCATATGGGGCGAGTGCTCCCACCTATAAACCCAACTTCGATTACAGATGATGCGCGAGGGATGAAGTTGAGAAAGCTTCGGTCGCCTGCCGGGCCCACAGGTAGCAAACAGCCCGGGGGTGGGGGGAGGGAGGGTCCACACCCGCCCGTCCGCGGGCGGTGCCGCCGGGCCCTGCCCACAGGCTGGGCGCTGCGAGGCGTCGTCACCGGGCCAGCCAAGGCCTCGGGGAGCCCGCGGCTGAGTTCCAACGAAGCGTGCCGAGAACCGGCTAGCCCCAGTGAACCAGGAGCGACCTCCTTCCGTCCCAGCCGAACTCCGAAGCCGGACCCCCGCGGGAAGCGCAGCCCACCAGCCCGCCCGCGTGGGGGACTCCGGAGGCCGGAGGGAGACCGGCCGGGTCAGACCGACACGACGCCCACCCAGCGACGGGAACTCACGGCGGCATCGACGTACCTCGGACAGAAAGGAGCGGAGATGCTCGGCTCCACCCCGGTGGCGGGAGATGCGGAATGACTTGTGGGGCACCCCGCGAGGAAGAAGCCCGGGCTGCATAGAGTGTGACACCGCGCGTCGCCCCGCCCCTTCCTGTAGTCACCCGGAACCACTTCCTGTGGCGGCTTCCCCGGCCGGCTCCTGGCTCGAGCGGCCCCGGGCCCGTTCCTGAGCTTCTCCCTGCCAGGCCCACCGTGGGCGGCTCTTGTCTGTCTCCAGTGCCGAGCAGAGGCTTGGCTTGGGCCGCTGTGGTTGAAATGTGCTGTGAGAATTGGAGCCGCGTGGCCGAGATGCTTCTGTTCATTGAAGGCCGGGAAGAGGACTGTCGGGTCCTCTGCCTGTGCTCCCGGGCGTTCGTGAAGTAAGTAGGCCGCGTTTCCCCTCCTCGCGCGTTCGAAGCCCGCCGGAACGCCGGTGTGCTCGACGTCGTGGAGGTGTAGCCCGAGTGCCTGTGGGCTGGGGAGCGGGGTAATGCCTCTAACGCCCGACCCCTCGGGGGTCACCGAATGGCCGCCCCCCTCTGCTGCCATTGCTATTAGGGAGAGACTACGCTTTTGAAGGGGTTTTGTGATGCGAAAATGTGGCAAATCATAGATATCATTTAGTGTTTACAATGAGGGCATTGAAAAATGGAGGCAGGGTGGATGAAAGGTATGATGTCTTACAGATGTGACATCATAAGGTCAAAGTTTGAACTTTGGAAAACATCTGTTCAAGACTTTTTCGGACCTTACATCCCTTTTCAAACCAAATCTACTCAAGCCCAAATACACACTATTACGACTTAAAATTATTTGGTATAAAAGGCCTAATGATTTTTTTATCTCCATTTTTTTAGATCTGTATTTTAAGAAAACTTTTTTGGTAAAAAATTATCTGGCATAGATAATAAATAATGGGGGTGGGGGAGAGTAAGAAGAAAGTTGGAATTTAGATTTTTTTTAAACCGGGTAGATTAGCCACTTAACTCATTCCTTTCCCTCTAAATCGTGTGTATTTAATCTCACATGCTTCACATTCATATCTTCGTGGAAGTGAATTGTATGTAATAAACTTTAAGTGTAGCTTAATGTGGTACAATTTTAAATTTGAAGGACTTTTTTCATTACATGTTTTTGTGGAGTAAGCTGAAAATCCAAAAAGAAATAAAATACTGTAAAGTTTCAAGTAAAAAGAAATTGTCTCAGCCAAGGGCAGTGACATAGGCCTACATTCACAGCCATTGGGGATGCCAAGCAAAAAGATCCTGAGTTCTAGCCTATCTTCCCTCCAAAGCTAAGAGAAAACATCTCCAAGCAAAATGCAAAGGGATGGGCTGGAAGCTAAAGTGGTGTGAGATCCTGGTTCAATCCCAGTATGCATTAAATCCTCAGTCTTAAATAAGTATTCATTTAATCTGTGGGTGCTTTTTATGCTCCTGCGTCTCTGGTATGCTTGTAAGGCCCTGGGATAATGCAGAGATTCTGTCCCTAAATGTGTTGTGTTTATTATCTAGCTCTAGAAGTAGATCGCTCATTAAAATATCTGGTTAGGGAATTACAGTGGTTAATCACAGTTGTCATAGTTATGAAGGAGAATAACGTGATGCTTTGAGAGTAACCTGAGCTTTCTCCAAGCATCACAGATGTCTTTCTTCAGAAAGTAGCCTTTGGAATGGGGCCAAAGGAAATAAACTGAGGTACATTTGAGTAGATGCAAGCATTCCACAGGCTAGATACTGTAAAATAGCTTTAAAGAGCAAAGGAGGCCTGTGAAAATGAAACAATGCCTAGGAAGAAAAAAATCAGAGACAAGATTGGTAAGCAATGATAACATGTAAAACTTGCAAGATGTTGTAAGAAGACTACATGCATCCCAGATTATTTTGAGGTTCAATGTTAATGATGATATGAAAGTCATATATATTGGATAGATATACAGCACCCAGCTGTTGTAAGATTGGATTGTGATAGATGGGCAGTAGAAGCAGAAAAGGTGAAAAAAGAGATTTAGGGGTTGTGAATTGACTTGCAGTTGGGGGAGTGAAGGAAAGACAAAGCACAGTTATGAAGGAGATTAGGTGAAAAGTAACTCCTTGGTTAAGTTTTATTTTTAGAACAGTGGTGAGGATCATAGGATTAATTTTTTTTTACATTTTGATTTTGAGAGTTAATGAATTATATTAAGAATAGATGGTACAAGTAGTTGGTTGTATTGCTTTGGAGCTTTAGAGAAATTTAAGCTGATCTTTGAAACTTGAGTCATTCACATGTAGATAGTAATTGAAACCATTAATTAGAAAGGCAAGAGTCCATCTTTGAGGAATTATGTGGGAAAACTGAGTTTGAGGCTAGCCTAGGCAACAGAGCAAGAACTTTTAAAAATAATAAAAATAAAAATAACCCATTAAGTGTTCTACATTTTTACTGACAAGTGATAGCATCACCAAATTTTATAGGCTCTTTTGATCCCACTTTGAATTTAGGTCTCATTTTCAGCTTTCCTGGTCCAGTTTTTGCAATAATCCTCATAAGAATTGCTGCTGAAGCCAGGCACTGGTGGCTCATGCCTGTAATCTTAAGTCTGTGAGACTCTTTAACTCCAGTTAGCCACCAGAAAACCAGAAGTAGAGCTGTGGCTTAAAGTGTTAGAACTATAGTCTTGAGGGCCTGAGTTCAAGCCCCACAGCCAACCAAAAAGAATTTGAAGAGGAAAAAGGGGGAGAATACAGTCAGGAATTCATTATATAACCTACAGAGAAAAGTGAGGGAATGAAAGGGATTTGAGGGATGGATGAGAATATTGAAAGGGATGACATTGATCAAGATGCGTTATAGTCAGAAACTGCTTTGTTTAATGGCATCTCCTTTGTACACTATTTCAAGATAATAATAATGGGCCTGGCACCAGGTGGCTCACGCCTGTAATCCCACCTACTCAGGAGGCTGAGATCTGAGGATCGCAGTTCAAAGCCAAAGCCAGCCCGGGCAGGAAAGACCATGAGACTCTTATCTCCAATAAACCACTCAGAAAACCAGAAGTGGTAGAGTGCTAGCCTTGAGCTGAAGAGCTGAGGAACAGCACCCAGGCCCAGAGTTCAAGCCCCACGACCGACAAAAAAAAAAGATAATAATAATGCAATTTTTTTAAAACTTCATTGTTTTTTCCAGATAACCTTTGTTCAGACCAGGAATTGTCTAGTAGAGAAGGGATAGTTCAGTCTGCAAATAAAACTAGTCTTACATGTAAGCTAAATCTTTACGTTATGTTACACTCAACTCAATAGGAAAATTTTACATATCATAAAGCAAAATGTTTATATGTCATAAAGAAAATCAGATTCTTTCCTCAGTAGTAGCTATAATTGTAAATGCTACTCTGTGTCAGAAAATGTTACTGTTTTACATATACTATCAGTTTTTGACTCCATGGGAAATACATTACATCTGTGTGATATGGGAGGAAAATGTATTGGCAAATTATTTTTCTATTCCTTAACTTTTTTATTTGTTAAATCTGTGTTGCCTTCAACTTCTTTCTCAGTTTTCACTTACTTCAATATGGCTCTTTAATTTTCTTCACAGGGATCGAAAATTGTGCAAATTGGGATTGAAAGGCTACTATGTCAAAGGCAATGACAATAATACAGGTAATATAACACTATTTAGGTAGAAAGCACTGTTAATTTATGTATAACTTATCACAATGTTATATTAACTAGCATAAAATATGATAAGTAGCAAGTAATCTTGTAATCATAGACACTCCTTTGTATTCTATATGAACATAAATATGTATAAACATGTTTCTAAAATCTCATCCAATCTCATGTTTTATTTCTACATAGCTACTATATGGACTTGATGTAGACTCTCTTGTCCTGTGTAGCATCCATCCTGAGGTGTCAAATTAGTAAAAAGTAATAATATAAAATAAAAAATCCCATCAGCTCTCAAGATGGAGCATATCACTAATGCTTCAGTCACACCTTGGATGAAACATTCGGTTGGATTTGTGCACTGCCACAAGTAAGGTTTCTGTAAACACTGGGCTTCTGAGCAAAGGAAAATAGGTGTATGCCAAACTTAACTCCTGCTCTTCTGAGCTACATGTAGTTCGTTGAATGATGAGTGGAATCACCTTTGTTTATAGATAGTGCAGGTTCCCCTCTTTGCCAGTCTTTCACTTTGCTGTGTAAGATTCCCTTCCTGTTGTGTGAGATCATGAACCTAAAGGGCATCTCAACTTAGAGTGTACAAAGTGTGTGAAGTGATTTTTATTACCTCACAGTTTAGATAGTTAATAGAGCACTTAAATGGTGTTTTTCTAGATAGTTGTATGATATATTTAGTTTTAAGACAAGATAAATTTTATTATAACGATTGCTTTTCTGTAAGGTGTAGAATCAAGGAGCTTCAACAGATTACAGTTGTGTAGATTTCAAACTTTCAATAGCAGGACCTTTCATTAATCAACTCTTCCACAGAATGTAGGGACCTAAATTCCTGTTGTGTTGAAGGATCTGTGAAGGGCTTGAGGAGGTACCTCTCATCTCTCTGGTTAACAGGTTCTAACATAATTCCACCAGTCATGATTTACAATCCCCTGATCTTGTCGGTGGTGTTCTGTATAGGCCTGGAACATACAAGTACTCCCCCGTTATATTGCCTCCCTAAGTAAGAGATCCTCCCTAAGTAAGACATTGACATTTGTAGACAGTGACAGACAAAATGTTGTTGGCTGGTTTTTAATTTCGTTCATACCACATTTCCTTAAAAAAAAAAACTTTCACATGTTTTTGTCAGGTCATGTAATCATTCTAGATCTCAGGTTGTTTGTTATAATGGGAATGAGAAAACTTGTCACTAAAATATTCACTATAATGAAACTAATAAGTGTTGGATGTAGGAGACCAAACTACAGAAGAGGAGGAAGATGATCATTCCCATGACACTATGAAATCATACAACAATGAAGACATAGGTCCAGATGAAAGTGAACTTGATTCTGAGGCCGAACTCATGAGAAGTATGGGATTGCCACTTCAGTT